AACCTGGAGCTGGGCTGCCGTGAGGCGATGCCTACGGCATAGGCTGCAGCCCCTGTGGCAGTGGGTTGCCATGGGCTACCGTGTGTAGCCAGCAGCCGCAGTGAGCGGCCGTCCAGAAGCCGGTGACTGATCTGCCTCGCTCGGGAAGAGCGCAATGATGGTGCCAACCTGGGCCAGTGAAGCGACGTCCTCCACAACTAGACTGAAGAACAAAAGGACAGCGACGTGTCTGTTCCTCTTCCCCCAATTCCCCAGCGCTATTCCCATGCCCCAATTCCGCAATAAAAAAAATCTTTAAAAAAAAAAAAAAGTCAGTCTGTGTATCTTGGGCCCTCACCCTCGACCCCAATAAAGCAGGCCCCATATTCTCTCTCTACCCGTCCTTACTCTGTAGGTCCCAGGTGTGCTGTGTCATTTGCAGGTTCTGTAAGCAATAAACCTTTTCTTTTCCCCCAAAGTTCACTGATGGCTATTACTGAAGAGCATCTTGATATCATAATAAGAACCACAAAGGCCAGTCTGTAGGGACACGTTAGGGACTTCCCCGCATAGGCCCCCCAGAACCAAGATTGTAAGGTTGCTGCCTTGAGCCAAAGTTCAGCATCAACTAAGGGTCAACTGAGAAAGGCTGGATGCTTACCACACTGAAAACAATGTGTGCTCAGCCAAAGTCCTTGAAACTGTTTTGCTCCTCTTGAGTTAAAAAACAACTCTTCGGCTAAGCATTTCTCCCTTAGTCTTAAGGGAGCGCTTGTTATTTTCTACCACCTGTTTCTATTTTATCTCTAATAAAAGACTGAAGTCAACAAAGATACCGGGTCAGACCGGTCCAACCTCAACATTGGTTCTTGATAGGCTGAGACCATAACAAGTCTAGTTACCAGGGCAAGAGAAAGTGCTGTGTTGCCTCACAATTTCCACTTGCATTTCCTACTTTCATTTTAACCACTGTATCTAACTTCTGCTATAGTCAAAGAAAGTGAGTGATTAACTTGAGGACACAGGAAAGGAACTGACTTGAATTCAACTTGAATGACCTTAGGTATTCCTTGATGGAATCAGGACTCCCTGTCTAACAGCATCTGTCCAACAAAGAGGGCTTCAATCCTGTTCACTATAGCCTACTCTCAGGAGGGCTTTTAGCATCTTCTCGGAAAAAGGAACCGTCAAGATCATTTGGCTATGTAAGACAACACAAGGATCAGCATTTTTAAAAGCACGTCTGAAAATTCAACTTGTAATTCGCACCAAAACATAGTTGACTTCTCACAGGCAACAGAGCTGGCTAACATTTTATTTGATTTTATTAGCCCTACTTGGGTTTTTATATCAATTGTCAGAAAGTAGCCATTAATTCTGGCATTGGAAAAAAAAAAAGCTTAGAAAGTCATAGTACAAATTATTTGTATATGATTTCACTGAAGGAAATCAATTTCTAATACAACTGCACTATATATGTATGGGTTTTCTAAGAATATGAAATATTAAAAAAAAAAAAAGAATATGAAATATTTTTAGAGAGGCACTCCACCTTTTCATTGCAATCTCAAAGGGATGCATGGCTTCCAAAAGATTATAAGACATGGTCCTAATGTTTAATTCAGTCCTAATAAAGATGAAGTCTGCTACTGTGCCCTGGTTCTGACATGCAGTATTTGGACCGTGCAAACTTAGCAAATTGGAAGAAAGTTCAAATGTATGAAAAACCACAAAGTGTTATGCAAGGTTGAACCAGAATCCAACAAATCAGTATGAAGCCTAGTATCTAACCTTCACATAAAATGATAACTGATTCTATTTTTCTCATGGATTTTCCTGAAAGGGCATAGAGTTTGGTGTTGAGTGGAGTGGGCAATAAAGGTGATGAGGCTACACCAGGGCCAGATTAAGAAATGTTCATTTCCTTCTTTTTTTCTTATTAAAAAGATATGTATTTTCATTGTCTGAAACATACTTTTTTATTAGTTCATACTATGTGCCAGGCATTAGAAACATAATGATAAACAAAGGCAACTTACATGTTCACACACAAAAAATTGAAAAATAAAGACAATTTAACCCCTCATAATTCCAATCACTTCCAGAAAAAGTAGTTGCTGTTAACAATGCTATAAACTTCCTTCCAGTCTTTTTCTGCACATATACTGTATTTTTCATTAATATTAGAATGCTATATTTTTTTAGAATCCTACTTTTTTCAATTATAAGGTCTGTATTTCTCTACATAAAGTCTTCAATAGCAAGATGCTTAAATAGCAACATAATCTTTCATTGTTATTGATTTAACTATTTCCCTAAGGCTTAGAATGAATATTTAGTTAATTTCCAATGTTTCACTACTCAATACTATCTTTTACACGAATTTGTGATTGTCTCTATCTCCTTAAATTCCTGAGCTAAGAATTACTGGGTCATAGAGCATGAATATTGTTAACATTTTGGGTTCCTTTTTTTCAAATCGCCCTCTAGAAAGTTTGCAATACTTTACATTACTTGCCTGCCTTCTCGCATTCCCTCATTAATACTTTTTCTTCTATGTTTTCAAATTTTGTTATAAAAATAATGGCATCTTATTATTATTTTGAATTTTATTGCCAATAAAGTTGATCATTTTCTCATACCTTTACTGCCTATTTTTAATTCTTCATTTGTTATGCCTGGTCCATATCACTAGCCCGTTTTTCTAGCAGCGTGTTAGGTCTTTTCCTTCTTTGTTTGTGAGAGCTCTTTATAGCATACATTTGTTCTATATTGCAAATGTTTTTCTTCATTTGCCTTTAAAATATCCTTTTATTGTTTTTTAATTCAATGACAATATACATCTTCACATGGGTAAAATTTTATCTATTGTCCCCTTCGTGGTTTCTTGCCTTGTTTATGTGCTTACAAAGACCTACTTCCACTCAAGTTATGGTTAATATTATAATGATGAAAGATTCTATGATGGGAGCCTCTCAATGTGTTACAGCCTTTACAGGTCAATGAATGCAGTCTCCCCATGGGTCCTAATCACTCGTTAGGCCATCTACAGAAGGGATTAACTTTCAGTGCATAACGACGGTTAATTCCACAGCGTGTTTCCACAGGTCTCCCTGGTCCCTACCTGGGGCACAAATGGTGGTTCATCACCCAACACTTCCACACACTTTCTTACAAAGAACTCTTTTCTCTCTCCCTCGCCGTTTCAATTTCGCCCACATCTACACCTCTGCAACTCCACACACTCCCAATCTCGCTTAGTGCTCCCTGCCTCCCGACCCCAGGTAACGCCAGCCTGGGTGCCTACGGACCCCTGGCCCAGGGGCCTGCTCACGTACCCAAACGCAGGAGGTCGGTCACGATGGCCTTTCCGATGCCCGTGCCCCCGCCCGTGACGATGGCCACTTGATTCTGTAGCAAGCCGGCGGCCAAGGAGCTCTTGCCCTTGATACAACAGCCCATGGTTGCGAACGCCTGCCCGCCTGCAGAGAAAGCCAGCTGTCGTCTACGCGCGTGAGTCCCAAAGGCCTTCGAGGTGGGCAGGCCTAAGAGCCCACGTGACCGCTGGCCCCGCCCAGCCTCGCCTCGCCCCGCCCCGTCGTCCGGCTCCGCCCGCCGCAGCAGCTGCCCATCCTAAGCGAAAGACCGCTCCCCGGCGGCGGTTTCCTGACGGTCCGCATCCTTTGCCATTCTCTGTCCCTGGCACGTGTAGGTGAGACTCCTCGTTCGTTCGTTTTTTTGTTTCTTTTTTTTTTTTTTAATTTCGATGCCATGGGGGCGTTTGGGGTGAGCGACAAAAGGGAAGCAGACAAAAAGCGGGAGTGTGCTCTATTTTGAAAAATTCAATCCCCAGTGGTATAGCTCTCACGGTTAATTAAAATTAAGTCTCCAGGGCACCTTGGGCAAAGAGGCTGCAGCTGGGGAGCCTTGCTGCGCCCATCCGCGTCCGGCGATGCTCTGGCCCCAGCTGCTGTGTGCTGCTGGCTGGGAAGGAAAGGGGTTGGCTTAGCTTGGGGGGAACAAATCCGGCTTCCAGATCCTTTAGTCCTCCGGAAGGCACTCTGGGGATGGGAGTGAGGGGGGTGGGGGGAGGGTACCGTTGCAGTTATCCACAGAAGCAAGATAATAAATGATTTTTTAAAACCCCAGCCCACCTGCGCCTCAACGCCCTCTCAGGAATGAAGGGAAGAAGCAATCTTTACCAGATTTGAGATCCGACCCATTTCAGCCAGGCTGCATACATCGTTGAGTCCGCAAAAGGATCTTTCCTTGACGGGCACATGCTTCCTGCAAGAATGCATCTGTAGGTGTCTGTCTAGAATTGATCCTCTAGTTCATTCCTTATGCAGGGGAGTGAGCCTGCTGAGGGTGGGGGAAATTTCTCATCCGTGTTTGGGTGCCCAGTAACAGGGTCTATTTCTCAGAGTTTCCTTTTTATTGCTCACCTTGCCTTGTGCTGTCACACCAGAGTGAGATTACACCTGGACTGGCTTGGGTGAGACTCTGCCTAAGAACTTTGCAGATCTAGGGGATATGTCAGGTGCTGTGGTCTTAAGAATCCAGGCAGGATGCGATCTCTAAGTCTGTTACCAGAGAGTACTGTATTTTTCCCTGCCGGGTAGTCAAATAATCTAAAAGCAAAGGAATGCCATCAGGTTTTGGGTGGGCCCACCACCTAGTTATTCACAAAGCGAATTGGAAACGGGTCTGGCTGAGAGTAGAATCAGACATCTTCTTGCCTGTGCCTCCAGCCCTTCTTTGAACTCCTTTAAGAAACACTCTCCCTTCAATCTTTGTTGCTGACAGATTCCCATCTATACCCCTTAAAAAGGGAAGAAATCTTTTTCTCTTCCCATTTGCTAGATAGTTTATCTAGGCACCAATTACTTCTACTACTGAAGTCAGTTATGTAGTTATGACCAAATTTTCAAAAATTACAGCATTACCAAAGAAGTAAATTTATATAGGAAAATTCAAAGGACCGTAGCAGAAAAATGTGATTCCTGGTGCTTTGATCCCAATGACAAAATATTTTTTTGTTAGCAGGAAGAGAAATACTGACTTGTTTCTGAGGGGTTTCTTATTCCAGAAAATTCCCGGTTTTCTTTCTTGGGAGGAACAAACCCTTTAAATTTCTTTTAAAGATAATTTATGAAAGGTAAAACTGAATGTGGTTTGTGACTGGGTTGGGCCTGTGGATTCACAGAGCTCTGCCAGGGCAGATGAATGTGGGTCTGGCTGTCCCACAGCCTCTGCGTGGTGGCTAAGAGGGCTGAGAGAGGGACTCTGTGGTCCTCCAGTGAAAAGGTGACGGGACTGGCTTCAAGCCAGTTGTGACTGCTGAGGATGACAAGGAGCCATTCCTCAGTAGCAAGGAAGGTGCAGTATGAGCAACTGGAAAAGCTACTCTTCACAGTCCAGAGAGAACCTGCAATTAAGAGGAGAGATGGGGTCTTTTTAAGAGACCCTTTGTTAAAGATAAAGAGGCAAGCCCTCTTTGCCTCTGCCTCTGACCTCAGTCAGGGTTGAAAAGTCTGAGAACCCCCTAAGGCCTGGAGGAGGCACTGCAGTTGCTCTGTCTCTTGGCAGCTCTTTGTTTCCAGATTTTAACTCTTCTTCGGACAAACACTCCAGATGCACTGATTGCTTCACATGTGATGTGGCTGCATCAAATGCTGCTCTTCCCTGCACTGTGCACCACTGTTCCCTTTGTCCTGGCGAAAACAGCATCATCATGGCCGTGATCCATCCACACACCCATCCCGTCATGCCCCATTAGCACCAGCTCTCATCATCTTCTGAGTTGCTCGTGCTGCTCACCCAGCTTCCCACCCCTCCCCCACCCTTCTGCCTGGTGACTTCATGTCTCCCCTCTGCAAAGCAGCTGCTGGCTCAAATTGACAGGGGCCTGTGGGAGTCTCAACATGCAGAGTCACAGAATGGTGGTGCCGAAGGAATGTCAATGAGGCATGTCGCCCCACCCCGGCTTGAAGTAAGAGCAGTCCTGAGCCAGCTTACATAAATCAGACTCTTAACCAGTTCACAATATTCAGCCAATATCCATTGAGCACCTGCCATGTGCCAGGTACTGTTCTAGGCATGGGGGACCCAAGGCAGTGGACAAGACATTTAAGTGTCCCTAAATGTAGAGTTTATATTCTGGCGTGTATGTATGTTGGGAGTAGGAGTGGCAGGCGGAAAGGGTATGTGTGCCGGGAGCGGTAAGATAATAAGCAAACAAAAGATCAAATAGTGAAGATAAGATCTTACGATAAGGAGACATTCAAGCTTCTTGTAACCAGCTACCCTCGCTGCCACTGCCGGGAACTATTTCCTCTGTAGAGAGTCAGGTCTTCCCTGAGTGATGAACCTGCCTCAGTGTGAGAGTCTTTCAGGACCAGGCGGGTTGGCAATGACAAGAGAAATGCTGCTGACAGGACCACAAAGGAACAGGATGCAGCCTGACTGCTCACAGCCCATTCACAGCAACTGAGAGTTTTAAGTTGCTGTTCCATCATTTTTCCAATCACTTGCCGCCAGTCTGAGCCAAATTCCCTTTCATTTTTACATTGGTGAGACTGTCTCCCTAAGGGGGGCTAATGGTAATTTTCAGTGGTAAAATGATAAGCTTTTTATTGCCTCGGTGGCCTAGTACATCTAACGGTGGTAAATCAAGATGCTATTGGGAGAGCCTGGCTATTCCAGAAAGAGGTGATATGTGGCCCTTTGGGTGACAGATACAGGAATTAGAGAAGAAGTAAAAGAATAGCAGGGCTGAGGGCCAGCCGAGTAGCTCAGTTGGTTAAGAGCTTGCTCAAGAGTTTGAGCTCTGAGCAACAGCGGTTCGAGTCCCGGCCCGAGCTGAGCAGCCGCTGAGCTACCAACAGGTGGCAGGATGGCTCAGCTAAAAAAAAAAAAAAAAAGTAAAAACTAAGGAGGAAAAAGTAACAAAAAAAGCTGGTTCTTTGTAAAGATTAATATAATTGTCAAAATTCTAGCAAGGCCTATATAGGGGAATATGGAAACAATAAATCATTAATATTNAAAAAAAAAAAAAAAAAAAGAAGAGCAGGGCTGGAGCAAGGCACAGTTCACTGGAGCAGTGGTAAATTAACTTGAAAATGAAGATTCTCCACCCTCCCAGCCCAGTTCATTTTCTTGGAAGAGGGAGATGTGTCTATATGGGAAAGAGTGCAAAATGTCAACTCCTGATGGTTCTTTAACCAATGGAGCAGGCCACCCTGATTTGGAAGCGGTATAAGCCGGAGATGGCAAAGGCAGCCCACGTGTGTTTTCTTTTGGTTGGTTGTCCACTTGATAATGTATTTAAATTTGGGCTAATTGCAACAATTAAAATCAGGAATTTTCACATGGAATGTCAGACAACCCATACGAAATGGGCTTGCATATCTCTATGAAAGCAGTTGGCTGAACAGAGTTGGCGTGGTAGGTGGAAGAGAGGGGAACGGCAACTTCCTATTTCAGATGAGACCTGAGCTCTTGTATTGGGTTGTTGGAAAAATCATGACGTATTTTTTCTGTTTTTCATTGCAAAACTGCGTCATGACTTTTCCAACAACCCGATATTTACCATAGCCCCCAGGACTCCTTGTTGTGTCCACCAAGCTAAGGCTTGGTGTCATTGATACTTATTAGCTTTTTTTTCAGCCTTGGTTCATCCATGTATGTTACCTGTGTCCCTGCAATGAACATACGGTCAGAGGCTTCAGGGCTTCCTGGCTTCTTCATCCACCAAGTTCACAGTTCTGCTGAGTATCTATATAGGTTTGGAGAAGGCACTGGAGCAGGTCTTCTCCAGTGACCACCTGGGAGCAGAGAATTGTGAGTAAACTCCACCGAAACCTTGCCTCATGGTGAGAGGTCTGTGAACCACCACTGTCAGGTGGGGTGAAGGTTAGTGACTGAGTGACTGATTGAATAGGAACTGGCCAACAGGGAGTAGTGCCCAGACTGCCTGCTAATGACTCAGCCCTACAAAGGTACTATAGCTAGGTAGGTGTACTCATTTTGTGGTGTTCTAAGTCTTTGGGTTTTTACTGAATGTCCAAGAGCTGTTTTTTGTTTGGTTGGTTGGTTGGTTGTTGTTTTTTAATAAAACTCCCTTTTGGGGGAGCACAGAATAGTCTGTCTTAGTCTGTCCAGGCTGCTATAACAAAAATACCATGTACTTGGTGGCTTAAATAACAAACTTTTTTCCCCCTCTCACAATCTTCAGGCTGGAAAGTCCAAGGTCAAAATGCAGGCAGATCCAGTGTCCGGTGAGAGCCTGGTTAATAGGCATCTTCCTGGCTGGCTTCTTGCTGTGACCTCACAGGGCATAAAGGGAAAGAAAGCTCCCTGGGCTCTCTTGAATAAGAGCACCAGTCTCATTAGTGAATTCTGCTCTCTCATAACTTAATCCCAGGGACCCCACCTCTTAATATCACCACATTAGGGGTTAAGATTTTAACATATGAATTTTGCAGGGTCACAAATAGTCCTTAACAGTATCATATAGAATATTGAGCTTTCCAGTGAGTTTCTGGTGGGGCTTGAGCCAGCATCCATGTTATCCTTTGTACTGGACAGCTGAATTTCAGAATTCCTGGCTCACCCAGGAGAATGAAAACTACTTGAATCACCCATTGTCAGGGAGGATGCCATTTTATGCTCTATCTCTGAGATGCATATCAAGATCTGCTTATACCCCAGAACTGATGAACTGGAACACTTAAGGTCAGAGGGGTTGGGATATAAAATAACCTTGGACAACAATCCCAGTGAATTGGATAAGATTTCTGTATGGCTGCCTTAAGAGACCAAAATAACCCTGGATTAAAACAAAATATTTATTTTTTTCCTCATATTACAGTCCAGAGGAAGAGGATTTATGACTGTGAAGATGGCTCTTATTCCTTCTTTCTCATTTCTCTGCCATCCCTAGCATTTTGCCCTTTGCCTCACCTGCCCTTGAAGGTGGCTCAAGTTCACATTCCAGCCCGCACGAAGGTAAAAAGAGGACGGAGAGGTACAGATGTGGAAGTTGCACACATCACATCTACTCACATCCCATTCGCCAAAGATTAATAATAATGATTACACTTAGCGGCAAGAGATGTTGGAAAATGTTTTCTTTACCAGAGAAGTCATAGGACCAGCTAAAAAACCTCCATGATTAAAGAAGAAGAAAAAAGATACAGGAGGCGCACCTAGCAGTTGTGTCATAAATGAGCTTAGTAAGCATAAAGGAGCTTATTAATGTGTCTGTTATTAAACTTTTCTTCAGTTTCAGTCTTTGACAAAATCAGGCTAATCCTTAATTGCTACTGCTTCACACCCCCGCTCCCAAATCATTAATACAGTCACTTAAAAATATTTTATTGACCACTTACTTGTTGGTCTCCTTGTATGGTACTGCTTTGTAGAGCTTATAGTCCAGTAGAAAAGATAGACAATAAATAAGTAAAATAACAAATAAAGCTTAATTACAAACATGGATAAGTTTTATATCAGCATATAAGACTGTTATGTTATATCAATATATATGGCTGTTATGATAAAGAATAATGAAAGGCAGGGAAGGGAGCTTGTTTTAGGTTTGGTGACAGGAAGGCTTTAGAGGAGGTGGTGATATTTGAACTGAGACTTGGGGGATACAAAGGCTGTGACCATGGGAAGGGGTGGGGCTGGAGCAACACACCAGCCAAGGCAGACAGCATTTAAGAAGGCCTCAAGGGGAAAAGCATTTGGTGCTCTTGAGGAATACACAGACAGCCAGCGTGGCTGGAGCACAGGAGGCATACGTGAGAATGGTGGTAAAGCATAGGATGGCAGGGTGGGAAGGGGACAGGTCGTATAGGTCTTTCAGCCACAAAGAATTTGGGTTTCATTTTTTAACTGGGGGGAAGTCACTGGAGGGTTTTAAGCAGCAAATGGCATAGGTTTATTAATGTTTTCCAAATATTTTTCTAACTGCTGAGAATTGATTGCAAGACAGCAAGAGTAGGAGCCAGAAGATAAGGGGCAGTTTTTAGAACCAGAGATAAGAGAAGATGGTCTCTTGGACCAGAGTGGTAACAATGGAGATGGGAAAAAATAGTGAATACATTCAAGAATTATACGGGAAGTGTCCTTCAAGAATGGCTTAAAACCAGTTATTTTAAGCATGAATTCTAGAGTCTGAGCAAGTTCTTTATAACCTATTTTCCCCCTTAGGATGGCTGAAAATCCAGAGCTAATGGTTTATTGAGGTGACACTGCACAGCATCGCATCCATTGATAACCTGTAGACTGGGAGTGAAGGTGGAAGATGGGTGAAGCCCAGCCGCCAGATAAAAGAGCAAAGTCCTGTCTCTTCTCTTAATTCTATAGATTAAAGTATCGAAAACTGGGGTATTCTTTTTACTCTCTGTCTTATGGACTCTAAAAGAAAGGAGAAATGTTCAGAGCCTGTTTCTCAGATAAAATACTACCAGCTTAACAAAGTATATAAAAATGGGGAAGATAATTAAGCCTTCCTCTCTTAGCAGTTGTTCATGTCTTATTTTTGAATAAGCATTTTCCTTTCTGCTCTGTCCTATCAAGTCAACAAGTACACACTAAGTATCTATTACTTGTCCAGCCCTGGGGGGTCTTCCCACTGGAGATAAGGAAGTGTAAGAGAGTTCCTGATTTCCAAAATTTATAACCCTCTCCTCTCTCGCCACCTCTCTTTACCTGGAGAACAAAAAGAGGAGAAACGGTGTTAAGAGTGAAAAGTGTGTGTACTCTCCACTGGTCTCCCAGCATGTGAGAACTTTTTGGGATGTTGGGCCAACATGACATCAAGAGACAGGTGCTCTTTATAGAATACTAGGACAGACGTGGTCGGGAAAGTTGTGCCATCGTTGGGTGGCTCGCTGAAAGTTGCATTCATCCATTTGAATGTAGTTGTAATGTATGACTCAATAGCCAGAAGCCCGGAGAACTGGTCCCAGCCATCTGAATCTTCATCTGTGGTGGGAGTAAGAATGGTTCTTGACCCCCCATGTGTCTGTAAGGCTTCCCCATCCAATTTCCTTATACTTGGCATTCCCCCAGCTAGGCTGATGGGGTTTGCATAATATTATATGTTTGCATACATGACACAAATATTGCAACACATAGAATTTTATTCACAACAATCCCTTCTTGTGAAAATATTTCTGCAGTACTCCAAAATCAAGTGTTCTGAGAAATAAAGGGAGATGGTGACTTCTGCCCAGTTGAGGATCATTTCTCAAACCCCTTTCCATATCGCTCTATTCGCCCCCCCCACCCCCCGTTGATGGCTTTGCTTTCCTATCTTTCAAGTTGAACTCATCGTTGGAATATCTTTTCATAGTTCCATCCAGGAAGAAGCTCTGGGATTGTGGACTATAAATTTGCTCAAACAAATCGGACTCTTCTCAAGGAGTAGCTAGACGTGAGGATTAGAATGGAAGCGCCGTCACCAGTGGAAGGCCAGGGCCAGCTCCCAAGCCCCCATCAGGGCTCTCTGAGGAAGGCGGTGGCTGCTGCCCTGGCCCTGGATGGGGAATCCACAATGGGTCGCAGGAAAAAGAGGAAGAAGGAGTCCCGTCCAGAATCGGTCATCATTTACCGGTCAGAGAATGAGAAAATGGATGAGGAGACTGGGGAATCAGAAGGTGGAGAGCAGCCTAAAGAGGAGGAAGGGGACGATTTCCTAGACTATCCTGCTGATGATGGTAAGTCTCTGGGCCCCTTGCTTTAAGCAACGGGAAGGAAACCAAATGAGGATCCTCCGGAAGACAGGCATTTGCTCATTGACCTATCTCTTCTTGTTGACACATTTCTTCTCACAGTGTTGCAGCCTTCACTTATTGAGTATTTATTATGTTCTCCTCTAGGTGATAATGAGGCGGTCTCCACCCTTTTGGAGCTCCTAGTGTAATGGAAGAGACCAATTTATACACAAAAATTAGGAACACAATTATTTAATACACATAAGATAAAGAAACAATAATAGTCGACTTTCATAATGATTAAGAAAATGCAAATTATAACAATGAGTTATAGTATTCCTTCACATTTAGGATGGCCAAAGATTGGGTAAAATATAACATCAATGTGAGGAAATGGAGGTATGCTCACACACCTCAAGTATGGAAGTAGAATCTGCTTTACCACTTTGTAGGGCAATTTGTCAATATTTACTAAATTCAGAATTCAAAGTATGCACACCCTATGTCCTGGAAATTCTCATTATATACCCCATGAAACTTACCCCCATGTGCATAAGGAAGTGTGTATTAGAATTTTTTTGCTGCTAATGAAGCTGTGGAGTGTCTGTGTAGCAAGAGATGGATGAGGTCAGTCTCTTTGTGTAGATGGACCTATCTCCAAGACATATGCCCACAGTGAACAAGCAACGTCCCTGCTCTCGGACGGTCAGGGGAAGACAGGCAGTGAACAAGTCAGCCAAATGAAATATAATTTTAGGCAGTGGTTCGAGTTCCCAAGACAGTAAACCACAGTGATGGGAAGATGAGTAAATGCTGGGAAGTGTGGAGGCGAGACGCATGGCTGTGCAAGGCCTCTCTGAGGACGTGAAGCTGGAGCTGATCTGAATGACATGAAGGAGCCAGCCATGAAAAGGTCTTGGGCAGAGCTTTTAGATGAGGGAGGGCAGCAAAGACCCTATGGTGGGAGCACCATTGCCCGTGTCTGGAATGGAGTTATTTCTGTTAGGGAGTATGGAGAACAAGGGATGGGGAGAGGAGGTCAGAAAGGTAGGCGGGGACCAGATCATGTGGGATAACAGTGTGGGATTTGTTATAAGTGCAAGGGGAAATCAATGGAAGACTTTTAAGCAAAGGAGAGACATCGTCTCGTTTATATTTTGAAACAGTCACCCTGGCTTCTCTATAAAGAATGGATTAGGAGGGTACGAGTGGAAGCTGATGAGAGACTGCTGTCTCAATGCAACCACAATAGAACTAATGTAGAAGGCTGGACTGGGTGACAGCAGGAAAGACAGCTGGAGAAGAGAGGCTGGATTCAGAGTGTAATCTGGAACTTGCTGATGGATCAGAGGTAAAGAGTGAGGAAAGAGAGGAGTCAAGAGTGACTCCTGGGCTTTTGATAGAACAAGAGAGGATAGATGGTGGTGTCATTTACTGAGATGATGGGAGACTGTGAAACCATTAGGTTCTAGGGAAACAGTACAACTCTTCTACCTGGCCAAAGTCCCTGCCACTATCCTGGGCTCTGCTTTTTTTTTTTTTTTATTGGGTAACTGTGTTTGTTCCAGGACACATCAGCTCCAAGCCAAGTTGTTGTCCTTCAGTCTTAGTTGTTGTGGATGATGCAGCTCAGCTCCAAGTCCATCACCATTTTCACTCTAGTTGCCAGGGGTGCAGCCCACTATCCCATGCGGGAATCGAACTGGCAACCTTGTTGTTAAGAGCATGCGCTCTAACCAACTGAGTCATCTGTCCACCCACCGGCAGCTCAGTGGCAGCTCAGCTCAAGTCATTGTCTTCAATCTAGTTGCGGAGGGCGCAGCTCACTGGCCCATATGGGAACTGAACCGGCGACCTTGTTGTTCAGAGCATGCACTCTAACCAACTGAGCCACCCGGCCACCCCCTGGGCCCCACTCTTTAGGGGGCTCCATTCTATCCCCCTTCCAGCCATGGGGCAAGGAGTCCAACAGGGCATGGGGGACATGCCAACTTAAAGCCTGTACTCTCCCCATTCCCTCCACTTCTAGACTACATTTTACATACCAAGAACCACAGACTTCCCTGTTTTAGTATCTCCAGCCTCACTCCCAGAGTGTCCAAAGGATGCCTGGTGGTGGTGGTGGTGGTGAGTGTGTATATAGAGATTGGATATAAGGGCTGGGACATCCATAGGCATGTGAGGAGACCCCCTTTCAGAGAAACATAGAGATAGGAATGAGAAGGGAAGGGGGCTGGGCTGCCCATCAGTATAATACACACATAATACAACCTTCATACATAGTAGCTGATACCCATTAGCAATATTTTCCCAACACTTGTAAACTAGAAATAAGATCACTATAGAGTGGTGTCTGCAGTATAGTTCCTCACACCCCTCCATATCACAGAGATTGTGACAAGATTGAGGCCCAGAAAAGTAGAGAGAATGTGAAAAACAAGTTTAACCTGCTTCATAATTCTATCAGTGCGGATGGAGAGTTCAATGTGGGAATGATAACACCAGTGGTCACCCTTCTGAGGGATACCTGTTCAGTCCATCATGGAATCACTGACGCCGGTACCATGCTAGATGCTATAAAAGTGGACACTTGTCATCAGCCCCAGCCTTGGGACACAACAGTGTGATGAAATGTCCACCCTTCTGATCTTGACTTCACCTCTTTATGCCCTGCAGGTATGTGGAACATGCCTTTGGACAGCCGCTATGTCACATTAACTGGGACCATCACGCGAGGGAAGAAAAAGGGTCAGATGGTGGACATCCACGTCACACTGACGGAGAAGGAACTTCAGGAGTTGACCAAGCCTAAAGAGTCGCTGAAGGAAACTACATCTGAAGGCAGGAAGGCCTGCCAGATGGCGGCTGACCGGGGGCCCCATGTGGTCCTCTGGACACTCATCTGCCTGCCTGTGGTTTTTCTCCTATCTTTCATTGTCTCCTTTTACTATGGCACTATCACCTGGTACAACATTTTCCTCGTGTACAATGAGGAAAGGACCTTCTGGCACAAGATCTCATGTTGCCCCTGCCTCATTCTCTTCTATCCAGTGCTCATCATGACCATGGCCTCTTCCCTGGGCCTCTATGCTGCTGTGGTCCAGCTCTCGTGGTCCTGGGGCGCATGGTGGCAAGCTGCCCGGGACATGGAGAAAGGCTTCTGTGGCTGGCTCTGCAGCAAGCTGGGTCTGGAGGACTGCTCCCCCTATAGCATCGTGGAGTTGCTTGAATCTGACAATATTTCAGGCAATCTCTCCAACAAGGACCCCACCCAGGAAGTAGAAACTTCTACTGTCTAAACTCCCAGCACCTTACTTCCTGGTCCTAATAGCCTGTATCTCCTCCAATTTCAGAAGATTCTTTCTTGAAATTATCCCCCCCCCACACACAGTTCTAGAAAATCCTAGCCCACACTGATCTGCCCTGCCATCTTAATGATTCCAGGAGGGCAGGGAACAGAAAAGCAATTTATGTGAAAGCAGTTCATCCCATGGACAAGCTCTTCAGTTCCTGCCCTCAAATGACTGGGACTAGGGAGCTCGGTTACGTGTCAGTACAGGGGCTTGAAGATTTTACTGGTGCCTGGAACCCAGAGGAGTATGTGATTAAATGTGACAGGGAGAATAAGGCGGCTCTGAAGAGACCAAGTCCACTGGTAGATAGGGATGGAGTGAAACATTCAGGAGGCAGGGCTACCAAAGGGTAGCAGAATGTAAAGATTTGGGTGTATCACTTAGAGTTTTATTTAGCTGCATATAATTAACATTCCAAAATAGAAGTTTATTTTTTTCTTGTATAGAAGAAGCCTGACGGCAGACCATCACGGGACCCGATGGAGTCATTAGAACCAGACTTCTTTTACTCCCCTATCATTAGTGAGATGTGGTCCTCAACACTGCAGTGCTGACTACATCTGCAGCCATTACACCCATGTTTCTGGCAGAATAGAGGAAGGGGCAAAGAAGAGCACACTCTGTGGTCAAGGAGACTTCCCAGAAGGCCCACTCAAACACTCATATCTCATTGGCCAGACTTTAGTCACGTGACCTTGCAAGCAAAAGAGGCTGGGAAATGTAGTATTTTGACTAGGCAGTTATATGCTAGGCTAAATATTGGGGTTATATTCATTTAAAAGAAAAGGGAAGAATGGCTATTTTGGTAGGCAAGTAAGAATCTCAGTAATTATTTAAATACATTCAGATTCTAAACTAATATAGATTTATTTATTTATTTATGCCTGAATCTTTTTATATATAGATACTAGCTATATATACTATGTATATGCTAGACATAGATATTAGCAACTCATGTACCTTGCAATTAAATGCCTGTAGTGTCATGTGGTTTCAGGGTTTTTTAGAAAGGAAGAGTAAACAGTTGAGTACAACTATCTAATAGTAGCATAACTTTTACCCTAGTAGTGAAGGCGGGAGGGGTGGTGGTAATTAATCTACAGATTAAAGACTGTGAAGGGAGGGATTGCATTTGCCAAACTATCCACCCCCACCCCCAACAGGGGTTGGTAGCCCTAAGCTTGAAGAAGACAGAGTTAGCTCTCTGTTGTTTGGCAGAGCCTCATTTGCTCAAACCTTTCTGGAATCTAACAACCAACAATTTTTGGTATGCTGAGACGCTTGTGTCTTCCTAGCCACCAGGGGTTGTAAACCAGATGAACACAGACTAATAGATTCTGAACTATCTTTTTTTTTTAAATTCATTCCTGAGGGATATTTCTAACTTTTTAAAAAGCTGAATCCTAACAGGTCAAGCAGAATTTGGAGGTTTGGGTCCGTATAAGAATAGCTGGTACTCATTTCTTTTTCATGTCGCAGGAAGAAGTTGTTGAAAGAAATGCTCTCCCATAGAAGGCCAGGGACATTTGCCTAATGTATGGTGCTAAACTCCATCTTCAGAAGAACCCCACACTTTGAAAAAAACAATTGTTATTAGTTTGACCAAAACAAAACTCTGCCCAGCAGTTTTGAAGATGATCCTGGTGCTCTCTGGTGCTTTTGCAGAGATATAAACAATTGCAATGTAAACAAAAAAAATAAAAATAAAGTCGAATTAACATTTGTTCATTTTGTCTTTGAGCTTCTCCCAAACTGCTTTGAGTGCTACAGTTTTCAGAAGAAGGGTAATTGTGGTGGCCATCCTAGCTACATATAATGATCTTAATCTGGATCCTTATGTCTTGATTTTTTCCATGTACCACTTATGGGGATTCCATTTAGGTGGACTGTTTCCACAGTCTTCTTTACTTAAACCTACATTAGGAAGTTGCAACCACTTTTGTCACATTTTTCTGGGTTTAGGGAAATCAATGGCCACGACCAAAACCAGTCAAAATTAGGACAAGGTGAGGGTGAGGCCCAAGGGACACCTAAATGAAATTGATATGGTCCTCACCCTAGTAGGACTTACCACCTAGTGGAAGAAATAGGCTTATAAACAATCCATTTCAAAAGGGCTCTAATAGAGGTATGTAAAAGCCTAAGACTAGAGGAAGAAGAAGTTAACTGTGAGTTATGGCTCATGGTGGGAACCCAGGTAACAATATCATTTTCTCACCCCATCCATGTCCTTCATATGTGACCATGGCTCCCATGCATATCTCCCTCTGTCCTCAAATGCCCTTTTTCCTCTACTAGCCATAGCCCATCAACCTCTTGTTCTCCCTCTTTCCACCCCTGTATCATACAAATCAAAACAGATCCTGAACTGACAGGGAGAAATGAAACCAACAAAGCTAGAATCCTTTTGTTGGGGAGGAAGAGGGAGTAGCCATACACACTGTCACATTAATAATGTTCCCCTCTTCACCCTTGATGAATGGAGGCCTTTCGATAGTGGAAGTGGTGCTTCAAGTCCATATCCGTTCTCAGCACCATGACTGCCTAGCTGCCTGAAAGCGGATGATTCTAAAGACTTGTCTAAGAATGGCTGAGAAACAAACACAGGTACTTTACAGAATCTCTTTTATTTTTCCCAGGAAACAAGCCTGTACTGGAGGGTGTGTGGGTGTGAGACAGAGAGAGGGGAAGGAGGAGAGAAAAAAGAAAAGAGAGAGGAGGAGAAAGAAAAGGAGAGGCTACATAGAAGATACAATTATGGACATAAACCACGCAAACTTCCTTCACCATGGTGAGTCACCAGTGATTCTACTTATGTATCATAAGAATTTTTTTAGGAAAATAATATTGAGTTTTAAAAGAACAACTTGAGTTTGAATAAAAAACCTGAACTTCCTGGACGCCAGGAGCACAGTCAACGAATGTCTGAGTCTCCTGGCTTCAGGGCATTTATCTTTGGCTCTCTCAAGGCCCCTCCTTCCTCCAGCCCGCCCCCCTCCCGCCCCCCATCTTTTCAGCTGTAGTGTCTGCTTTTCCCATGTTCAATTTTGAAGAGGAAGAGAATCTGGACGGATTTAATTTTCCAGTCTGGGTAGAGGTTTGCAGATGCTTTGTAGGTTGCTGGATACTTTGTAGGTCCATTCACCTGTCAGCTTGTGGGTCTTTTAGGATAGAAAGCTGTTTCTGTACAAGGTTCAGCTTGGGTAGGTCGCCCTCAAAGGGGCAGGGGCTGAAGGCTGGGCAGTTTCCAACGAAAGAGGGTGGTGAGCATGTCAGGCACTGTGATTGATAGCAGCCACTTCTAGACCAACTCCTCAGATTTGTCTTCTGAATTAAACCTCACTTCCTCCCTTAAAAGCTAGTGCCACTCCCATCGATTGGCAGATGCTATTTGAAGCCTCCACCTTTGCACATTCCATTTCCTTTGCAAAGAATGCCTTTCCCACTTTTGATTGCCTGAAAAACGACTCTTCCTTCAGGGGTTGGCCCCAAAGTCCTCGCATCTGTGGAGTCTTTCATTATCTCTCTTTTTATCAATAGAAGAAACAGACTTTTAGAGAAATTGACTTCCTGGATCCATACTCATACTCAAGGAAATCTAATGCTGGAGCTCGGCTCAAAACAGAGTCTAGATGTTATTCTTAACGACAGAAATGGGAAGTGAATCTTTAAGAGAAGTGATCTGTACTTATCGAGTTCCAGAGACTTGGACAGCTCAGAGACAACATACTCCGGCACACCAGCACGGAACGCAGAGAATCTGCGCATGCTCACAGCATCGGCGCACAGTTTCCCCGCCCCTTCCGGGTTTCGCGGGAAGTGGCTCTTCCTACGATGCTCCGGCTCCGAGTGCGCCGGAACTGACTTGCGGCGCTGCAGGTTCCCGCCCGGAAGAGGAGACCAAGGCGCCTACGGATTGACAGCATGGCGCGGTCAGGGAATAAGGTAGAGAGAGCTAGGGGTTTGGAACTTTCCCGTGCCGGGGGTGGAGAGGGTGGTTCTGAAGCAGGAATCATGGGATCACGGCGGTGCCGAGGAGTGAGGAAAGAGAGGAAATTATGGTGGGCCATGAGCTGGATCAGTAGGGCCGGTACCAAGGGATGCGCCGTGGGAAAAACTGGGACTTTGTAGTTCTAAAACCTGAATTTGAGCCTGGCCTGCTCTTCATCACCCCCTCCTCATCCCACCTCCCTACCCCGTCAGCCTCCCCTCTCTACGTCTCAGTCTCAGTCCACCCCCTAACCTCACCTCCTCCGTTACTTCTGCTGGGTTTTTAAAAAATCTATGAGAATTGAAATTAGCCATGGTAAGCACCTACTCCGATTTATGAAACTTCAAAGAGGGACTGCGTAAAATAACTTGAAATGTAAAGCATCATATTATTACCTCCATAGTAATCTAATATTTCGCATTTATTGAAAGCTTAGTCTGTGTGAGGCACAGATATAAACGTTTTATTCCTATCCCATTTAATCTTCACACCGAACCCATGGAGTGAAAACTATTATTCTCAGTTTACAGGTGAGAAAACCCAGGCATGAAAAATGTGATTAGCCCAAGGTCACCCACTCCACAGGTGAAACTCGCATTTGAACCCAGGCTGTCTGGTTTCAGAGCCCTGGAGAATTTCTGGGAATCTATGAGTCTCAGTGCCCGAGGTTAATAGCAGATATTACAATGATTTTTTTCAATGATGTCTTCAATATAAATGGAGAGTGGTATTTGCCTGGAAGGGTCACTAGAGGGAGGTATGTTCCAGGGAGCTGGCCACCCATCCATTCATCCAAAGGCTAGGCCCTTTATTAGACTTCTGATACACAGATAAACAAGATAGGAGTTTGAGCACCTGATCCCTAGCCCCCTCAATTCCCCTCGGGGAAATGCTGATTAAAATGATTAAGAACATATGTTGCCACTCACCTCCCTTGTACCTCCTCTTTCAGCTGTTGGAAATTTTGCAGCTTGAATGGAGCAGCTGTTTATGGCAAGTGGACCTGCAGCAAATTTCGACCAGCCTATGTTGCTTTGGTTATAAATGAACTGAGTTACTGTGTTGCCCAGTTTCTCTTTCCTGGTTTTCCTACTGTTGTCAGAAAGGAACTTGAAGTATTGCATAGACCATTCTGCTTCCAGACAAGAAGTTCTATACTGTGAAACCCTTTGATGCCATTTTTTTGGATACTTGATTCCTAGCAAAAGACCTTTAGTCCTCTGAGTTACCTGAGTTTCCAGGTTTAAAAGTAGTTTTTATGAATGTGTATTAAATAAATGCAGCAACGTATTTTGGGACTCTTAAATTTTTTAAGATTCTTATGCCCAAGGCATTGAAACTATGGTATATAAGTTTTGTTCTCAGAGGAGTTTTGTAGGTTATTACCACCTTTTCTCCAAACATGCTACCTTTACTGCATAAATCTCTTAATGTTAGTGCATTATGTTCAATTCTTTGTAAACTAGGGAAAAACTTAAATAGTCTTTCTTTTCCATGTGTTGCCTGACATATAACTAAATTTAGAAATCATCTGTAATTTCCCTGATAGGAGCTCATCCAGGTTTTTCAAACATTTCTACGGTCAGGAGGTCACTGCTTCAGAAAACTGTGGTTCTTTTACTGATTACTTCTAAATATTACTTTTTCCTCCTTATATGTAGGCAAACCAATCTCCCTGTAACTTCTGTCTGTGAATCCTATTATCTCTCTCACAGACCAATCCTTTTATAACACAGCTGTCAAATATTTGGGAGGAATTATTATGTCCCCCTAAATCTTCACATCTGGCTCAAATATCCATTTGTTTTTAAACCGTTCTTCACATCACATGCTCTCCAGATCTTTCTCTAACCTCATTTCATGTTCAGTTGTAATAATCTTTCTCATAAGATGTGCTCAGAACTGCTCACAGTTTGTCAAATGTGGTCTTATCAGTACAAAGCACAGGTGAGATTGTAAGTGTCGAATGTTAATTCTGGAAAAGACCTTAGATCTCATGTAGCCCAACAACTGCTTCCTGCCGCCATGAATTAGGAGTGAGGTTAAGTGACATTCCCAAGGACTTAGAGCTAATTGCTAATAAAGATGAGACTGGACTTCAGGTCTCCAGATTGCTAATTAGTCTTTTTTTCAACATAAGAACTTTCTTTTTCTTATTTGAATTCAATAAACTGTTGATACAACTAAAATATTTTGGAGAGTGGAATGAGATAGCTGTGGGGAATATAGTAGTGCTGTAGCCGTGTCGTACTGGTGACTCGGAATCCACTCTGACATTATTAGATGCTATTTGTTCAGGTCGCCTCCAACTCATATTCAGTTAAATTTGGATGCCAAATATAGAATTTTACATGTATCCCTTTTAGTTTATGTTTCCCCTATTTCCTTAGTCCCCCTTGCTATGTAATGATTAGATGTCTTTATGTGGTGCCCTCTATCTGTAATGTCCCTTGTTCACATGACTGACTCCTGCTCATCATTCTTTGGGATTCACCCAAGCTTCACATCCAGGAAGCCTTTTCTGCCTCCTATATCTCTCGTCCAGTTTTGAGTAGGTGCCCCTCTTGTGTGTGCTTTTAGTGCCCACTGCATAGCTCTGTCATGGAACATTGTGCTAATCTTGTTTATGTGTCTTTGTTCCCTACTGGAATAGATTTAGTGTCTTCGTCTTCATTTTAGTTCCCCAGCTTATAAACTGATTCAAATTGTTGGGGTGTATCATTTTAGCATATATAGGTTATAGTAGTCACCTATTGCCACAAAAGTGTTTTATAAAAAAACTACACCCCAAATCACTGGCTTACAACAAAAGCATCTATTCTTATGCTTGTGGGTCAGCAGATCACCTGCAGTCATCTGATGTATTTTGGGCTCAGCTGGGCTGGACTTAGCTCTAACTTGCAGGTTGTTTTCAGATCTGCTGTTCTCATGGGTTTATTCTTGGGCTGGGGCCAAAGGAGCAGCAGCTACTTGGAGCATGTTCATGTCCTGGCAGATACTTTCTAGCTTTTAGAAAACATTAGGGCTATTTAAAGTTTCTCCATAGTGAAAATGTATATGTCTTACCTATATTCTCTAATAGAACATTTCTCTTTATTGTACATCCTTCAAATACCAGTACAGGTTCTTTGGGTGAAAAAAGCAAAAAGCATATATTTTTTTTCTTTCTTTTTAAATTATTATTAATATTTCTCAAATACTCTTTGGGACTGTGTTTCCAGGCAGCTGTTGTGCTGTGTATGGATGTGGGCTTTGCCATGAGTAACTCCTTTCCTGGTGAAGAATCCCCATTTGAATTAGCAAAGAAGGTGATGACCATGTTTGTGCAGCGACAGGTGAGTTTCAGATTGGCCTTGAGCTTGTAACTCGTTCTAACTGCTTGTTGCTTTCACTTAGTAATGCAAGATACAGCCCCAGTGTTTTGGGGAATCTGAGGCGTTTTCTAACATATACTCCCATGTAATTCCAACTACTATTCAAGCCTGATATTTTTTTCTCTCTTGTTTTTGGCTCCTCCACTGGATATTACATTTTTCATCAGAAACAAAAGGCAATGTAAAGTCATATTTAAAGGTACAGTCTCTAGAACCAGATGGCCTGGGTTAGAACCCTTGCTCTGCCCTGTCATTTACTAATCTCATGATCTTGAACAAGCCCTTCAACTACGTTGTGCCTATTCCAGTTACCTTTTGCTGGTAATATCCTAGCCCCAAACTTAATGTCTTAAATGACATTTAAAAAATAATCTTCTCTCATGGTTCTTTGGGATGACTGAGTGACTCAGTTGTGTGATTCTCTCTTGAGGCCTCTGAGGTGCACTCAGATGGCTACTGAACCATCTGAAAGCCACTGGGCCAGATGTCCAAGATGACTCACTCCTGTGGCTGGTAGTTATGCCTTCTGGTGGCTATGAACGCAGTTGGGGTGGCCCATCAGAACCCTTACATGGGGTTTCTCCAGGTATTTTAGGATGTTCACAGTGTAGTAGCTGGTTCTAAGAGGGAATGTCCCAAGAGTGGATATTCTGAGACCTACCTATGTGGCCCTTTATGACGTGGCTTTAGAAATCCCAGAAAGTCATTTCTGCTGTTTTCTATCAGTCGAGCAAGTCACTCAGGCCATCTCACAGTCAAAGAGGAAAGGGGGCGAAATAGCCTTCTGTTGATTTCTGCCCCTTGTACCTTGTAGGGCTGCTAAGTCCATGAAGTTCTGCTTCATACCCTGGGCACTGCTGCTCCTGGACACGGCTGCTTTTTCTGCTGGGTGTTGCCCTTCCCACTGGGCACTACTGCCTCCCACCTGTCAGCCTAGATTTTAACAAATTCTGATGACCTGGAATCTAATGTGTCAAAGAGGAGGATGTCTCTAATCCCATTCTTGGTTATAGTATTTGTATTGGTTGTGTTCAAGCAGTTCTGCTGTGCCCCAGTGTAGTGTGTGTGTGAGTGTGTATGTGTACACAGAGGGTGCCAAAAAATGTATACACATTTTAAGAAAGGAAAACTGTATTAAAATTGTAACTCAATATATACCATTAACAAAAGATGCATACAAGTCACATTTGACTTCTGCAATTACAAGAGGTGCTCACAGTGGTTCCCATCAGTGTCCAGACACTTCTTTTTTTTTTTTTTTAAAGGTTTTATTGGAGAATTGGGGGAAGGGGAACAGACAAGTTGCTGTCCTTTTGTTCTTCAGTCTAGTTGTGGAAGACATTGCTTCACTGGCCCAAGTTGGTATCATCATTGCGCTCTTCCCCGGTGAGGCAGATCGGTCACCAGCCTCTAGACGGCCGCTCACTGCGGCTCTTGGCAGCTCACACCAGCTGCTGGCCGCTCATGCTGGCCACCGGCCACACAGGGTAGCTTATGGCAGCCCACTGCAGCAGGGGCTGTAGCCTATGCTGTTGCCGGCAACTCACGGCAGCCCAGCTCCAGGTCGAGCTGTTGTTCACCATCTTAGCTGTGGAGGGCAGTGTCACTGGCCCTCATGTGGGATCTGAACCTGGGCCCTGCTGCTCAGAGCTGGCATCCCAAGCCAGCTCTTAACCAATGTGCCACTTGGCTGGCCCCAGACACTTCTGATTACAGTGAATGACTGCTTGAGGAACATTCACCAAAGTGTCCACTTGTATACATTTTTTTGGCATCCCTGAATTTTTTATTTTTATGTATGTATGTCTGTATATATATATATATATACATATATACACACACACACACACACACACAAACACACATACATATATTTTTTTAAGGAAATGGTGCTTTCAGTTTTTCTCTTTGCCTCTTCTCCCTCCGTGGAAGGCTGGGAGGCAAAGCCTGCTGCCAGTCTCATGCAGCACTCAAAATGTCCTTCCCTCTCCTTACTGAGGTTTTCTTGTTGAGCGCTATTACCTTGCCTTAAGATGGGTTCTGGTCCAGGAGACAGATAGGATTCTAGCTGACCTGCCCTACTGGGGTGCTGGACATGTTTGAATCCCAGCAGCTGGGACTTTTTCCTCCATGTACATCTAGGGATTATAGCTGGAGTTGTTAAGAGACTGTGGAATATAAAAGACCAAACAAAAATGAAGACTGGCAGAATTCTGTCCTCTCCCCATTCAGCATTCTCCCCATTGATGTAAAGGCTTAATAAGTAAGTGGGAACCGGATTACCCTTTGTGTCAGATACTATTTTTGTTTGATTATGAAATATTTCATAAAAGAGGCAAATGCAAGAATAATATAATGGGAAGCTATTTCCCCATTGTCTAGCAATATACAATCCTAAAGTTTTGCCATATTTGCTTGATTTCTTTTTTTTCTTAAAAAAATACTATAGATAAATATGAAACCCCTTGTGTATCCCTTTCCAATCCTCTTTTTTCCTGTTTTCCCTCCTTTCCTCAAAATTTGCATAGTTATTACCATGCATGTTTTATACTTTTGAATGTAAGTATATTCATAAATAATATTTAGCATTGTATAAAGCTTTCAAAAGTGTATGTAATGTATTATATGGTACATGTAATTTTGCAGCTTATTTTTTCTCAATCTTATGTTTTTGAGATTTATTCCTGTTGATAAATATTGCAGAAATTTATTTTTTACTGGGTGGTAATATTCCACTGTATAAATATTCTGCAGTGGGTTTTTGCATTCTCTTATTGATGGATAGATAGTTCATTTGTTTTCAGCTTCACCCTGTTATAAACAGTGCTGAAGTGAACTTTCTTGTTCGTTGTCTCCTTGTGTACATGTGCAATATGTACACCATATGTACATATGGTATATATACCTGTAAATGAAATTGCTGGGCTATAGGATATGAACCAGCAAATTTTTTTTATCTCTGGAAAATCCTTGGATAGTCATTCCAGAAAGAGACTAAAATCTTTACAAATTGTCCATAGTTAGTTTTCACTGAGAATTAGAGACTGAGTTGGCCAGAATTTCTTCAAGAGCAGTTACCACCCTCTCACTCTCCCACCGTAAATTGTGCTGAAATGAAGGTGGGACCTATAGTCAATGAAAAAGTCTGCTTAGAACCTAGGAATTGTCATTGTCCCATGGGCCATCTAGCCCAATGTTCTATTGTTGACAGTGGCCCCAGGGACCTGCCATAGGGAGATATGGTTGTCTTACTCCCTGAAGGTTGGCTATCTAATGGCTTCCCAGGTGGTACTATATGATTTTTAACCTTCTTTAGGTGTTTGCGGAGAACAAGGATGAAATTGCATTAGTCCTTTTTGGTACAGATGGCACTGAAAATGCCCTTGCTCATGAGGATCAGTATCAGAACATCACCGTGCACAGACACCTGATGCTACCAGACTTTGACTTGCTGGAGGACATTGAAAGCAGAATCCAACCAGGCTCTCAACAAGCTGACCGTATCCTTTTTCAGCCAGAGAAGACTCTTAAGAAATTTCTTTTAATCTGGGGAATCATAATCTAGTTTGGTGAGGTTCTTAAGAGTCTCAGTTCTGACTGTATGGACATTTTTGGCTCTGAGGTCATGATGGTGATGTGTGTTAGGATTTAGTGGGAAATTAATCAGGTTGGGTTGGACGCCTGGATTCCAGACCCTAAAGAATCTTGCCCCTTTGCACTAGTGATGTTGAGAGGTTGTGAGGCATCAGAAGGGGGAGATTTCAAGCGGGTATATGCATGTATTGATGATGTGCAGAGCATTGGTGGTGGTGATGGTTAGAAATGCTTGGACATAGGGAAGATATTTCAAGAAGGGTATAGCATTAGCATTCTCCATGCTTTCCTGGATGGGGACTATTTTTGTGCCCCAAATCAGACTGATATTCAGACTGAGATATTTAGTTTCTTCCACAGGGGCCCTGGTTTTAAGGGGTTATTCTTATTTTTCTAATCAGTATTGCCATCCCTGATCACTGGGAGGTCCTGCTGTGTTGCGAGTAACTTAAAACACTATATTATGGCTCACTTCATGTTTAAGAATGGACCTAATTACAAAAAGCGGGTTCTAGTTAGTGTAAAATGGCATCATAATTTTTGGTTAAATGAGTGAAATATGTTAGATTACCTTTTGGTTTATTCTACTTTTCCTGGTTATATGTTTCAGGATGTACACTTTGATATATAGCATATGTGAATATACCAGGGGTGCCAAAAACAATGTATACACCTGACTTGTATTCATCTTTTGTTATCGGTATATATTATTACAATTTTAATACGGTTTATTCTTTCTTAAAATGTATATACTTTTTTTGGCACCCTCTATATGTTAGTGAAATAAACTTGGGAAGAAGAGCCATTGGGGAAATACTTTTAAATAATCACACAGTCAGCCCAGTGTCCACAATTTCCAGCACTGTGGACTGTATTGGGAAAACATTACATGTTCTTGGGATAAAGGGAATGTTTGGTGATATCTTTTGCCCTTAACTAGCTGAGTTCTGGACGCACTCATCGTGTGCATGGATGTGATTCAGCGAGAAGCTATGTAAGTTTCTCAACTGAGGAGAGTTGGGAATGAGCCCTTCTGCAAAAGTTATATGGGTTGATGGATTCAGTGCACTGTGTGATTCATTGTTAATCAAGCAGCATGTTCGTGTGGCTAAACATTTCACGGCATTCAAAGGTTCAGTTCAACCTCTCTTTTTTAAAAGTTTAAATAAGAGGAAAGGATATACTTGCTGGGAATTTCTATGGGAGAAATAAATGTTTGGTTTATTTCAGGTTCCTTTTTATTTGACTTAATTACCAGGAATTTAAAAACATACTAAATGGTGTGGTCCATATGTTATTGAAATTAGATATATAGTAACTGGCCAGCTTCCTGTTAATAATTCATTACTTATTTAATTACTGGCCTTTAAAATGTGTGTCTCTGAGTACACACATGAACACATCCCTTAACTGTTAGGAAAAACCTTTGCACTAAAATTTCAGGCCTAAATTTGTATTACCATTTCTTAATCTCTCTCAATCCTTTGCCAAAGTCCTGCCACTCGCCCTGTGAGTGGAATCAGACCGGTGTATTTGGAGAGTGAACCCTCACAAGGGTGAAGCTGTAATACACTGGGAGAGTCCCTCGTTTACATCCTGCCTGTGCAGAGGCTGAGAGGAAGTCTTTTCAATGACTATGACCACATCTTGAACTGAAGTTAGAGCTAGGAAACCCGGGACATAATATTTCTGTAATGCTCAGAAATTTCGCCTAAGATGTTAAAAGTATGTTATAACCCGGTGATTACATGTTTGATAGGAACGTAACTGAGCATTAATCACACGTGGACTTCTAGGAGGTAACCACATTTGTGAACTGTATTTAGGTTCATCTCTTGGCCTCTTTCTGCTTAGGGAACAGGTACAATTGAATTTGTAGGAAATAATTTAGGAGAATGAGTTCTTACTGTGATAACTCTCTCTTTTAGAGGCAAGAAGTTTGAGAAGAGACATATTGAAGTGTTTACTGACCTCAGCAGCCCATTCAGCAAAGATCAGCTGGATACTATAATTCACAACTTGAGGAAATCCAGCATCTCCCTGCAATTCTTGTAAGACCATATGGATAATGTTTGTAAACAAACCCTGTGCTCTCATAGTGCAGTGAGAGCACTTGGTTCTCAGGAATCTTCGCGCTGCTCTGAGACGGAATCTGTCAGATGACTGACCTTAGCAGATGGTCACTGATGACTCTCTGTTCCAGGAACTCTTCTGATTTTGGGGGATAAAGGGATGAAAGTCACGCTGAAACCCAGGAGCTCAGTAGCAGATTGTTCACTGTTTTTAGGCTCAAAGAATTGAGGAATTAGAGGAATCTTTAGAGGACATTCAGTTCATCTCCTGCCCACACAGAGGACTTTACCCAAACAGTGACCATTTTGATGGTGTCTTTTCTGAAACAGCTCTAGAGAACTGTCTTAACAGTCGATATTTTTAGGGTAGAGAGGAATGTCAGCTGGGAATCATTTCAAACACATATAATGCTTATTTTTACCTCTTTTTCAGATCTGAAAAATACGCACACATATATAAAATGTAATTTGCTTATGTGTATTCGGAAATGAGATATACACATTTGGCGCAGGGGGCGGGGCAGGGGGTATTAATATATTTCAGTTTGTTGGGGAGAGAGTCCCTCCCCAGTAGTTTGAATTTCCCCTTCAGGCATTTCCTTCCTTTATCTTATGCCCCTCACAGAAAGTTCTTTCCACTACACTAATCCTTCCTGCTGTGTCTGAAACCTATTTTTTCTTGTCCTATTTTTGGTGAAAGCAGACTGATAGTATAGGATGTTAAATTATTAGGCTTCTGGGGACACTCATTTTTCAGGCTGAGAGCTATCCTAAGAAGCCTCCAGCTCCGAGTGGTAAGCCTTTGGCTTTAAAATGCCTGCCATGGGGAATTAAGCACTTCTCTTGCATGTATGCACCTCTTAGAACGGCTGAGGGGCATCTCCTTTCTGTAGAACTGTCAAAAAATTGTTCAGAATAACCCATCATGCTGATACTTAAGATGGTACTTCAGAGAAATTAAGTGCTTTTAAAGTGACACTTCTCTCCTTATTGAGTTGAGGTTTTTCTCAGCACTTCAAAAGCCCAGCTCGGCATCTGTTCCCTGTTCATAATCTCAGGATGTCTTTATGTGGCTGAAACATACTGCACTTTGTCAATGTCATTGGAAAGGGCCACTTTTTCCTGTATGAGTAATACTATAAAATGTGCTAAAGAGGGAAGCATAGCTTTTTCTTCTGCTTGCTCATTATGTAACCAGTTGTATTTTTTCTTGGGTAATATGCTTCCTTCCTGTGCCACAAACCTCCAGCATACAAAGTGGAGTTTCGGTTTTATTGTTTGGTGTAGCCTGTGCATGACTGGTGGTGTTCTAGGTGGACTAAAAAAATACCATCAGGTCTAAGAAGCGCTGTGTTCTGAACAGGCCTGTTCCTTGGACCTAGCTTTTAGTTTCTGAGAAAGTTTTATTTCTGGTTTAATGCAGGGTAGAAACAACTGTTACTGTAACTTCTTTTTCCAGGATAACTTCCTGACTCTTCATTTTCATATCATTCTTCCCTTCTTCATGGTTGATGTTATGGAAACAGCAGTGTCCTGATGCAGACCCTCTGTGCCATACCCTGCTCCTTGGAAGCTCTTTATCTGATAGGTAATACAGGACATGCAAATCTGTCACGCTAAGTATATGTAGGAAGAATAAAAATATGAAGCCCTATTTTAATTATATAGCTAGCAAACAAAATGACAAAGAAATCATCTTAAAAATAACCATCCACGTAGGGGTGACAAACAGGTAATGTGAGTGAACTGAAAAGACTGCTGAATTCAGTTGTTTCCGTTTCCAGGGGCAAAGTAAGGAAAGGTGATACGCTGTGTGGGAAGAATGTTGCCCTTCCAGTCAGGTGACTGAGTCTTTGCTTCATCACTTAGGAGCTGTGTGTCTTTGGCCCAATTATTTCATCTCTGTAGCTTTAGTTTCTTTTTAGAAAATAGAGGTAGAAATCTCTATCCACCTAATATGTAAGGATTAAATAAGATTGTTTACACGATTTGTAAAGTGCCATACAGAGTATTATCATAAAATGTGGTTGGTTGATTTTCCAGTTTGTATATTGATTATTGAATATTTCCAGGACTGGTAATCCCCATCTAGTGTTAGTCTCATCTCAGTCAAACAAATGGAGTGAAACATAAAAACAAAATGGGTTTTTCTTATGTCGAGCAACTACCTGATTTCTGGAGAGGAATTTTTTGTCTATAATAATAATGATAACATTTTTGAGTTTTAAGTATTTTAAACAAATTCTCTAATCTTTATAACCTTGAGGGATATTAATGGGCAGTTATTTATTTATTTTTGTTGGTCTAGAATATCACCCAGCATTTTTCTAGGAAGTATTTCTTCCTACACTTGAACCTCACAGCTTGGAGGAGGGCCGACATTTTTTATATATGGACCCCAGTCTACCACTGATTTCCTGGATTTTTTAAATTTGAGAGTAGAGGTTTAAATACTCAGTCTTTCTTTGGTGGTGGAGTTGGGCAGTGTGAGCTCGAATGTGTTCTGAGACTGTGGAGGAAGCCAGTCCAAGGGAGTGAATCCAGCGTAAAAGCCAATGACTAAACATGGAGGTAGGACGTGAGGGGGTCAGATAATCCATATGGCGTTTGAGACACTGAGTGTAGTCATCCCACGGACACGTGCAACCCCGCCCTCTGAATTATTTGGTTAGATAAGCCAATAAATTTCCCCTTTTTACCAAATCATAGAGGCTTCAGTTACTTGAAACCAGTGGAATATTGACTAAGGGAGATAAGTATCATTTGACAGATGAGAAATTTAAAGCTCAGGGAGGTTGGCGAACATGCCCGTTTTTTCATTGCTAGTAAGTGATGGTCACAGGATTGGAACCCAGTTTCTTTTCTGGCTTCAGACCTTCTTAACCACCGCTGATCTTTCCCTGATAGTTTGCCTTTCCCAATTGGCAAGGAAGATGGAACTGGGGACAGAGATGACGGCAGCTTGCGCTCGGACCACCATGGACCCTCCTTTCCTTCAAAAGACATTACTGAGCAGCAAAAAGAAGGTATTCGGATGGTGAAAAGGGTGATGACGTCTTTAGAAGGTGAAGATGGGCTGGATGAAATTTATTCTTTCAGGTAGGAAGTGAAAATCTTGATTGCAATTTTCACTTGTGCCCATATGTTTCTTTTTTGAACAGAGGGCTTCCTAATGTTTTCCTTTTTCTGGGCCACTCTTGAATTAGCAGTTATTCTTTAATAAATATTCTGATTTTCATTAAAGAAATGGTACACTAGCCTCTAATCCCTTTTTTTAGATGTATGTGACTGGCACAAGATTTCTTGTTTATTTCCAAGACTGTGTCAGTGAAGTTTGGAAAGAAATAGATACCACAAAATATTTAGCAAGTAAAATGCAAAAGATGAAGTAGTAGATTTCTACTTTATGCCAAGCTTGGGGCACATTTCTTGGGTCCTTCCTTTTCATGTACCTACAAAAAAAAAAGTCCAAATTATAAAAAACTGGCAGAACTGAGATATGCAATATCCCTTTATCCTCTGATTTAGGTTTATATACAGTAATACAGTGATTAAAACAACAACCAAAAACTGGGGTCACAAAATGATTTAGTCAGGCAAAACAAAACAAAACCCCAAATGTAAAGAATTTACAATCTTATTTCATGTGGGTTTTATAAAGGCAAAATGATTTATGAAATATGAAATCCATGAAATAACATATAACAATAAAGCAAACTGCTTTTTTCACCATCCAGTTAGAGACTATCACCTTTATTCATGTTATTCATGGTTGGAATTGGACTTACACTTATTTAGAGCAAAGAACCTGAGAGGAGTCAGAAGCATCTAGAACAGTATGTGTTTGAGGGCCTGACTGGGTAAAGGTGGAAACAGAATATGTTACTGTGCAGTATGGCTTGTTAGTTTCAAATTCTCTGGATAATCACACTTGAGGTTTGCAAATTAATTCCAGTTTATCAGTAAATATACAAACTACAGACATTTTAAGTGAAGTTCTTAGTTGAAATAAAGGCTCAACAAATTAGGACTTTTTTCAATAGCTACGTTGTATATCTGCTCTAATTTCTTTTCTCAACCACAATTGTAAAATATTTCTGGTGAGCTATAATTGACAAGCAATACATTCTGCTTTCCTAAACACAAGACACCCTTGAAAAATTAGAGGTAAATGGGAATTTTGGAAGTTGAATTGTAATTTCACAAGGGGTTGGCAAAGAAATCAGAGAGGAATCCTGTAAAGTGATGTTTCTTGTCATAATAATGTGTTCTTACTGTATAATCATATGTGCAGATCTGTGTTCCTAAGTTATTTCTCTTTCAAATTTGGACACAGTTTGTTCTAATGTGAGAATACGTGTTTTAAGCTAACGTATTCACCATCCTATCATAAAGAAAAATTATAGGCCAATACAGAGTACGGTTAAAAAAGTTGATTTTTAAGGAAGAAAAAAAAAGTTTATTTTTCTTTAGCATAGCAAGGAGGGACATTGCCGACTCTATAGTGTCCCAGCAATTTGAAGCTGCTTTGATTTTAGGTCTGCCCTGAAGGTGTGGACCAGAACTTTGTCATCCAATACAGTACCCATTATCCACATGTGGCTATTTAAGTTTGAATTCATTAAAATTAAAAATTTAGTCCCTGAGTCACACTATTTCATGTGCTCAGTAGCCTATTGGACAGGGCACAGCTAGAAATAGAACATTTCCATCATCGCAGAAAGTGGTACTGGCCAGCACTAGACTCGACTTTTCCCCACCTGGATCTTAGGAAGATAACTTGAGTTCTACTTGGGGAGGTTCACATCTACTTCAGAGCTGATCCAGTTGTTCCCAAATGTTCCATATTAGCTGCTGGTCTTTAGAACTTCCCCTGGAATACGCGTAGCATCCAAATCTCATGGTTTTAGACGTGACTCATGCTTGGACTGGCCATGTCCTAGGAGACAGGTTAGACCTGGTTCAGACCCACTCATTCCCCAACAAATCCAAAGCCCAGGTGTATTGTAAGCTTTGGAAGTAGGATGTCAGATAGAATGCCAGCTACTCCTTGTATATTATTCTGAAAATTGGAGTCTCTTGAGACTTCTTTGTCTGTCACTCTGGGTAACGTCACATAATTCTCCTACTTCTTTCTACAATAGATATGTTTTTCATCTGTACCAAGGGGATCAATCATAGTCTGGACTGTAGGCTTCAAATATGTTTGGTCATTAATTCCTTTGTTTCTTATTTTAATGAATACAACAATGTTCAGATATTTCTGGTCATCATTTCTGTTGTGTTTGATTTAGGGGCCAGATAAAAATAGAGCTGATCTTGGCTTATGTTCAAATGATGTAACGCTTTGCATTGTGTTTGCCACCCACTCCAAGTCTCCATCTCTGTCCCCAATAAGAAACCTAGAGTTCTCTGCTTTACCGTAAGACTAAAATGTGGATTGCTAAGTTACTTTATCCCCTGGGAAGTTTTTATTTAACTCTCTCCATTATGTGCATATACAAATGCCTTTTATTTAAGAGAATTGGAAATTTATTAAATTTATTAAAGAAGAATTGTAGAGTTGTGAGCAGTGATGTTATAGGATGGTGCCCACCCTGTTATATCCTAGACATGGTTTTCAGGGAGCTGGTGAACCATTTAGATTGTGCAAACTGATTTATGAATGTGTTTTCATCATATTCTCAAAATGTCCTTGATCTGGGAAAAAATGTAAAGAACAAGTGGCCAAATTGAAAGAGAAGATTGAATAAGGGAAGCTAGAGATGTTCATTTTCACTTGTCAGTAAAGCCGTTTAACTCCTTCCTCCTAGGCCAACTGGTTTGTGTCCTGGCTGTCTCCCACCCCGTGATTGTCACATTCCTGCCGTCCCCTGCTCCTCTCTTTCTGATCAACAGCAGTTCACTTGTCATTCTAGAAAACTGAGCACATCATCTAGCACAAGTTAACATTTTAAAATCGTTGCTTTCATTATATATTTTTCTTTATTAAGTGAGAGTCTGAGACAACTGTGTGTCTTTAAGAAAATTGAGAAATCTTCCATGGCCTGGCCCTGTCAGCTGACCATTGGTTCCAATTTGTCTATAAGGATTGTGGCTTATAAATCGGTAAGTGGTAGGTACACGTTTTTTAAAGAAATGTTGCCTGGCAGACTAATATGCTTACATAAGGAACTGACAATTCATGTGTGGGTTATTCAGTACCATGATTACTGCTTTTCTAACTGCTCTCCCTGTTTATTTCATCTCTATTGAGCTTTTATGAAAAAGGCATGCTAGGAGAGGAAGTTGTACGAATTGCCTCTGATGGAAGTTGATTCCCTCCTCTTTTTTTCTCTCCATTGATAATTGATTGTGAATCATGAGTTCCAGGCCTTTCTCTCTCTCTTTATCTTTTTTTAAAGAAGGAAAGTGGAATGCATTAAGCTGGGTCATTGTAGTATCATAGCAGAAATACAGGATATACACCAACTCAGTTACACCTAATTCTGTTATTAAAGGTATTTATGACTTGTTACTCTGAGATTTCCTTTTGCAAAACATGTACATTTGTACATAATAGCACACTTGAAAAATGAGTTGCTTTTAGTAATTATTTATTGAAATTCCAGTTTGAGTACAAGTCTGATCCATGCCTCCACATGACCCACCTTGCCTTTTTTATTTAAATGTACAAAATAAATATATAAAAACATTTAAACATACAAAAACATGTTTTTATATATTGAAGTATTTTTTATACATTCAAGGCCTTAATTTCAGAACACACTGTACATCCATGAAATCTTTGCAGATTTATCTTTATTTTGAGCTCCATCAAGGCCTACAATAATGGTCCTAAGAATTGAGAATACAGTCTCCTCCCTTCTTTCTATTTTTTTTTTTACATTTTCTTACTGATTCCTGAGTGCTGGTAGACTACTCTCCGTTTCTTTATTGGAAAACTGTGGTAACAAGATGTACAGTCCTCTTTTATTAGATAATCTGAGGGTTTTGTATAGAAAGTGTTTGAGTATATACAAATACTCATATTTATCTGTGGATTACCCTGGGGGTAAAAATGAAATGTAGAAAGAGTTATGAAATAAACTAAAATTTCCACAATAGGCAAGAGCAAACAAAACAATTCAGAATAATTATTCTGGGTTTTGTTTTTTTTCCGTAAAGCAGAGAATATATTATATTTTCACCTTTGTCGATTGGAATCCTAGCTTTTTGTGCTTTTTCTTTATTTTTCTTTTGGAAATAAGATTCAACAGGGGCAAGCTAAAAAGTCTTGGACAGTTGTGGATGCAAGAACCTTAAAAAAGGAAGATATACAAAAAGAAACCGTGTATTGCTTGAATGACGATGACGAAACTGAAGTTCCAAAAGAAGACACTATTCAAGGTATGCCAGTAGGAGTTTCCACTTGGGCCTAAAAGAGATTTTCTTAAGGTGATAAGAGGCAGGCTGAGATTTGTTTATTATTTGTTCACAGATATTTTCAGTTCTAGAGACTCAGCGCTTTGAAGGGATCTGAGACCCTGGGCTCTAGGTCATCTGTTGGGTCATAGGGAGGATGGTTCCCAGGAGCACACGTGGGTCTTCCATCTCTCTGAGTTTTAAGTGTCTCAAGTGACAGGACTAATACTTGACTTTGTTTCAAAGTTTGGAATTTATTAGCTAGGAAAATGCTTATATTAGTGTGGCTGAAGCAAGTTTTTCAAAATGTATTCTGCTTTATTTTTTTACTTCCATGGCAATTATTTTTCTGAGTGCCAGTTTTACATCTTCTACCCTGCCAGATGTGCTCCTTTAAGATAATTTAGGGGATAAGAAAAATTATTTGTGTTTGTTATATTGCTTTACGTTCACTCGGATCTTTAAAGTTGTACCCGTTTGATCTGCATAGTGTGTTGAGATGGCATCTCTGTCCAGGGGGCTTAGAAACTAGCTGAGAGCGTTGGAATGTTTAAGAGCTAAACTTATAAGGTACCAAATGATGGTGAAGATAGAAACCAGGGTCTTTATATAAATTTATTGCCAGGCTATACTTACTGCTACTCAGGATAGTTTTAGCTTGCAAGCCTTGAAAAAAAATGCCTTTCACCTGTGGCACTGTATTTTGCAGTGTTTGTGGATATTTGTATGTGTTGTAGAGACGGGGGGTGGGGGGGGTGATGGTTAAGGTGATGGTGGTGGTTATAGAGTTTCTCTCCTGATGGATTATGTATGGAGAGTAATCAGCACCCTACAATCTCTATTATTTCTTTAATTCAATTCAGTAGTATAATGCAGTTAAGACCATGAATTTTGGAGCCAGATATGCGTTAGACTCGTGTCCCTATTACTTGCTAATCATTTGATCCTAGTATAATGACCCACCCATAGCAGAAAGACGAGCATGATAAAAGGCAAAAGAAGTAGAGGGCCTTCTCAGTGATATAAGGTAGTTGGGTTATGTATGTATTGGGCACATACAGATTAGTACTGGAGGGTAGTATCTGATAGATAACCTGTATTTTCTCTTGTAATCTTCACAACAGCCTGATGAAACAAGCACTCTTGTTATTTTCATTTTGTACATAAGGGAACTGAGACTGAAACATATTCATTAGTGTATTCAAAGTCAAACACCTAACAACTAACAGAATTTGAACCCAGGGCTGTCATACCAGGAAGGGCTTTGAATGATAGGCTGAAGAGTTTATCCTTAATTTTGAGAGCAGCATGGAGCCAGAATGTCACTGGGACTTGGTTTTAGGAAGATTAATGTGACAGCTGGTGTAGAATGGATTGGAAGGAGAAATGAGAGATAAGGGTACCAGTTCTTTTGGTTGCAAGCAAAGAAAGGGGTTCTGGTTATCTTAGGCAGAAGGGAAATTTATTGGTAGAGCAATGGAGAGGGAAAGGTTAGAAATTGTTTGAACTCAAAGAGCCTAGACGTGTAGCTTTTCTGTCTTAAACTTTTTGCAGTTACCCACATACTTCATTTGTCCTCCACTCTGCCCCGTAATATGTAGAGTTCTCTTTCTTAGACAGAGGGACTAGTATGTGTGGGCAAAAGAATATAGTTATATGTTGTCGTCTGTTCTATACTTCTTGTTATTGTACAAAAGTTAGTTGTTGATTTGCCCTGGAAATAGATGAACCAAAACACACAAGATAGTTTTAATGAGAATTTTCAAGTTTACTGTTAAAAGAGTCAAGTAAGATGTCTGATGACAGAGAAAAGTTAGAAAAGACATTTGATTTAGATACCACTCATAATCATATGCCATACATTTCCTTGTTAATTTTTTGTGGGAATATTTAGAAAAGACATATATAAAAATACAATTTTTTAAAAAAATTAAATGCATGACATCAACAGATTGACAGGAACAAATAAACTGGGTCACACTGTGCCCTCAAACATGTTTCTTTGTTTCCTGGAGTAAAGGTATATGTGCTTTTCCTTTCCTTTGAAAGCCAGAATCCTTTGATTTTGATGATCCTCCTTCCAACAAAACATATTCGACTCTATATTGAAATAGCATGGCCTTCTACAGAGCAGAAGCCCTGGGACAGGTTTTGGGGTTTGTTTTTCTTTAAGAAGCCAAGAGCCTATATTTGTATGAGTAACCTAAGTAATGAAAAAGAAAAAAAAAAATAGACAATCCAATCCCAGAAATCAAATTAATTAAATGCAGAAAAATATCCAACTTATCAATTGTACATTTTTAAATAGAAGAGTTCTGGCTTCTTCCATTAGGCATTTGTATATCTCCAGCATGCTTTTTTGAGAACATTTTGTTCTGAAAATTTCCTATGGGCATTTTTTTTCCTCTGTGGGTCTCCAGGATTTTGAATAAATGTGTTCTTGTTATGTTTACAAATCGTGATTGTACTTTAGTCAACTGTGGTTTATCTTTGGAGGGTAACTAGTACATTGCTACGTTCTTTTTTCTAGGCTGGATAATCATTAAGGTAACTAGATGGAAGAATATGTACTTAAAAAACGTAATTAGATTTTAATTGACTCTATATTGTATATGTTGTTTATGTATTTGCTGCTTTTTCCCCATTGATCACAAGGGGCAGAAATTTGATTCCAGGGAGTATTATGTTGAGGCTTGAACTGTGCCTATATGATTAATGTACATATGCAGAGGGTTATTTCAGCTCATAGAAAATGAGGCCCCATGCGCTTAACAAATGCTCTTCTCTTGTTCTCCAGGGTTCCGCTATGGGAGTGATATCATTCCTTTCTCTAAAGTGGATGAGGAACAAATGAAATATAAACTGGAGGGGAAGTGCTTCTCTGTTTTGGGATTTTGTAGATCTTCTCAGGTACAGCACTTACTCCCTAATTGTAAACAAAATAAGTGAGCTTTTCCTTGTTATTATATGAGATGGTGTGATTTTGATCGGTCGTTTTATTTATAATATATGTTTATTTCAATGTTAGTTTTTCAGAAATGTAGTCTGGGAGTTATTGTCTCTATGTTTGATTTTTGAAGAGAAAAACCAAGATGTAGAGAAGTCAGCATGAATCAGAAGATTAGATTCAATTTAAAGTCTCTTCTTAGCTTTGCTGTCAGTCATAGCTCAATGTGGCCTTAAACAGTATCTAGTTCTTTGCTATTATATTGCTTTTTCTAAACTGTTATGTATAATGGAGTGTTTTATAGGAATGAAGGTCTAGCTGGATTTTGAATGCCCATAGACCTCTTAGAATATCATTGATTTATGCCAGTTGCTCTTTATCTCAATGCCCAACAAAGATGTCCAAGATGTGAAACTTATCCTGAAGTCACGTTTTTTAGACACCAATACAGAGATACACAAAATAGACACAATGGGAAACGCAGTAATTCACTGAAGGCCATGGGATAACCTATACTATCCTAGAAAGGGTTCTTAAGGATTCTTGGAGATCTTAGATAAAATTGTTCTTGAGGTAGGCAACCAAAAAGAATGTATAAGTATAAAATGTATCTTTCAGGCTTTATAGGAATGAAAAATAATATTTTTTTATTCTAGATGAACTCAGTTGAGAATCATAATAAAATATATATTACCTAGTATACTGGATTTGAACTTCCTCTCGTTGTTCAAGCATATAGTCCCTGTGTACTTCAGTGTTAGCATAATTCAGTGAGATTAGGGAGAATGTTTTTCATGATATGCCAAACTGTTACATACATTTTTAAGACTCATAAGCTGAAAATTGGGAGGATTTACTTAAAGTTGATGTGATTTTAATGGTGAGAATAAATACTTTTTGGAAGTTGAGTCTTTAACAGTTTTCTAACAAATTACACTATGCTTTTCTTCAAAATAAAATGACTCACTTTGGGGAGGTATATAAACTTAAAACTTATGGTTGTTGATGGCAGTGCTTATGAGTCTTTTCAGTGAAACAGAACTTTTATTCAGACCTGTTTGTAGAAAGTGGCCTATTGGGAAATGGGTCTCCCTAACTCCAGACAGGCAGAAAAGACCAATCCTGTGCACTTACACATCTGCAAGTGGAAGTCGGGGCTCAAAAAATGGAAATCACCTGTGCCAGGGTGGGAGTGGGGCCTAGTAAGTTGAATGACACAGCAAAAAAGAATGAGCTGAACAAAAAGTACACTTTCTATTTTTAAAGATTTTTATTAACTTAAAATTAACTTTTAAGTCAAAGTATTTCTAAGTCAACTTTTTGGTTTATAATTATTTTTATGTCAAGTACAATCTCAGACAGGCACAATACTATATTCATAATAGCTACCATTTATTGAGTGATTAAAATATTTCAATCAATAATACTAAGCATTTTATATAAATTCCTATTTAATTCTTATTATGACCCTCTTGGGTAAATGCCATTATATGTATTTTATTTTATTTATTTATTTATTCTTTTTTTAAGATTTTTTTTTTTAAATTGGGGAATTGGGGGGATGGGAACAGTTCTGGGGAATTGGGGGAAGGGGAACAGACAAGTTGCTGTCTTTTTTGTTCTTCAGTCTAGTTGTGGAGGACGTTGGTTCACTGGCCTAAGTTGGCACCACCATTGCGCTCTTCTCAGGCAAGGCAGATCAGTCGCCAGCTTCTGGACGGCCGCTCACTGCGGCTGCTGGCTGCTCACGCTGGCTGCTGGCTACACACGGTAGCCCATGGCAACCCACTGCCACAGGGGCTGCAGCCTACGCCGTCGCCGGCAACCCACGGCAGCCCAGCTCCAGGTTGAGCTGTTGTTCAGCATCTTAGCTGTAGAGGGTAGTGTCACTGGCCCTCGTATGTGGGATCCGAACCGGGTCCCTCTGGCGTCCCAAGCCAGTTCTTAACCATCGGCCGGCCCCCATTATATGTATTTTAAACATTAGGAAACTGAGCTTAAGAGCTGTTAAGTAACTGGCCCAAGGTTACCTAGCTAGAAGGTGGTAGAGATGGGCTTTGAACCAGGTCTCTCTGACTCCAAAGCCAATGGCATTGATCCCTTGTAATCTGCCCACCAGATGGACAGCATCATTTCGGAATAGTCTAATTTTACATACCTGCCTTCATGTACTATCTTAACAAATGCATACACATCATCTTAAGAGCAAGATGCTTTACATATCAACTAGATAAAGTATACGCATGCACCTAGTAACAGACCAGTAATTATCTTTAAATTAATAAGATCACATATTTTTCCAAACTCCCTTAAAGTGAGGGAAACTAACATTTCTGGATTGAATTGATGTGAAACTTTTCGTTATATAAAATAGGTTTTTTGGCTTGGGGTATGTTTTTCCTTTTTTGAATTGTGAATTACTCTTTTAAATTTTCAAGAGCCCCTTCAATTTGTCTTCCTCCAAGCTGTCAGTATTCTGGGTATCTAATTATAGGATGGATAAGAATTTAGCCAGAACTTCTCCTAAATGGCTGGCTGTCTTTTGAAAAGTCATTTAGGTGCCTTAGCTCTTTTTTAATCAATCAAGAGCTATTACAGATTCTAATAGGAGGGCAAATAAATCTATATAAATGTAGCAAACTAAAAATATAGGATCATTCCCATATTTCTTCAAATAATGGTTTTCAAATGAGGAATGGAAGTGGAGGTGGAAGGGATTTGAATTATGTGGGTCTCACCCCCACACCTTTGAGACTTCATCCTCTTGAGCAGCTGTTGCTGTGAAAGTGCTCGTCATTTCTCAGCTTTCGAGGTGGGGAGCACTGGACTATTCCAAAAGTAGTTCCCCAGATGTGCTGTTTTCATGCCACTCCAGACCTATTCACACAGTTACCCCTACTCAGGACACTTGTGCCCAGGCTCTTTATTTTAGTTCCTACACATCCTGTAAGTCTTGATTTGGGTGTCACCACCTGCAGAAGCCACATGACCAAGCTAGATGTCCTCCTTATGTGCTCTTGTGGCGCCAAGCTGTAATACCGAACTCTTGTGTTCTGTAGCTCTGTATGGTAGTTCTGCATTGCAGCTCATTTCATTTTTATCTAAGCTCCTCAGGACAACACTATGTCCTGTTCGTTTTGTGTTTATATTGCCCAGAACAATGTTTGATGCATACTAGGTACTCAGATATTTATTGTGTTAAATTGAACCCCAAGTAATAAGTTGTTTCCAATGCCTGTGAGAGTTTTTCAGTAAGAGCATTTTGAATAGGATTTCTTAGTAACGTGTAGTATTATGGTTTTATGTTACTTATTTTGGATCAAAACCAATTTTTTCCTTACTCTTGTAGGTCCACAGGAAATATTTTATGGGAAATCAAGTTCTAAAGGTCTTTGCAGCAAAAGATGATGAGGTGAGTTGACAGTGGGTCTTTGAGGTAGTGCCACAGAATTGAATTGTCATTTTCAGGGAGATGTTTGGGGCTTTTGTAGTTTTATTTTTATTTTTATTTTTTGGGGGGGGGTACTGGGGGAGGGCAACAGTGTTGGGGAATTGGGGAGGGGGACCAGCCAAGTTGTTGTTCCTCAATCTTTGTTGTGGTAGTTTTGTTCAAGATGAAGAATTACATTGTCAACAAGAGTGTTATCCAAATGGATTGGTTCCTTGTGAAGTGGTCAGATCCCCATTTCTGTAGGTTTCCAAGCAGAGTCTTTATTGCCAGCAGTCAGATGTTGAGGAGGGAATTCCTTCATCATGTGGGTTGTTAAACTAGATGAATACTATTGTTTTTAACTCAAATATTCTGTGATTCTGTGAATAGTTTCCTTTTAAAAATTTGTTTTCTCTGGTCATGAGCATAGGGTTATTTCGTGTGTGTGTAGAGAATCTACACTTTTATGTGCTGATCAGCACCGTGTGGAAGGGGAGAAGAGAAAGGAAAGGAAATGGAGCTTTAGTTGAGTTTCCCGCAAGCTAGTGTTGTGTTACAGTGTAGCAGTCCTTCAAGACCCCATCTTCCTTTCTTTAAATGTCCCAATTGGCTCTATCGAAGACATCCAAATAAAAACCTGCAAAACTGGAAATAACCTCTTCCCCAGACTCCTATTGTGCTTATCTGGTCTCTCTTTCGAGACATGTGAGGATGTATGCATTCTGTATTGGATACATGTCTCATATCTACTAGTACATAATACATTAGAAGGTATTACTAGCACAGTGAGATCAGAGACTGATCTTTGTTTTCTTACAGGGCCTAAGACAGTGCCTAGCAAAGAGTAGGCACTAAGTAAATATTCCTTGAACGGAAAAGATAATGACTCTCTTATGAAATGTGTAGAGGATTTTGATGACAAGGTATTGAGGTCATAGGTTTTTAGTGGCATAAATGGGAGTATACATAGATAACTTTGATAAAGTTTAGCTAAAATACTGAGAAAAGTACAAAGTGTTTGGGGAGTTAGGGAGAGGGAGAGAGCTTACTAAAGCAAACCTGAAATGGAGAGGTTATCAATTTACTGAGCCTTGAAAATGGGTTAGAAGCTGGAGAGCCAGAGATTTGGAGAGGGCATTCGAGCTGGAAAGAAATGGTGTGAATAAAAAGCTACAGAGGAGGGAACGTACGACACTTGCCCAGGAGTAATGATCAGCTCATGAGGCTTGAATAGTGGACTTACTGGAGGATTTTATGGAAATGAGTCACATGATCAGCTAGCTCTATGAACAGGGAAGAGGCAGTGCTGGAAAAGAACAGATCGATTTGAGAGATGACATAGAAGTAGAATTGGTAGAGTTTGGTGAACAATTGAAGGTGAGGGATGAGAAAGGTGGCATTATCAGAGACTTTGGGCTCTTGTTTGGTTGAGTGGGAAGTGGTGTTAATGGAAGTAAGGAGTGGAGGAGGAGAATGGGGGAAAGACAGAAAGTTTAGTTTTCGTTATGAACAGTTTGAGCTACTTGAGGTATGACCAAATAAGACATCTACCAGCTAGTCGGCAATGTAAGTCTGGATCTTAGGAAAGTTTTAAAGTGGAATACACAGATTTTTGATTCATCAACTCATCAGACTGGATAAAATAACTCCAAGTAGAGGTTTAGCGTAAGAGGAGGAGAGAAAGGTCAATAGCAGAATTTCAAGATTAGTTGGAAGAAGAGAAGAGGTAGGGGAGGAGTGTCCACAAAGTATGATAATCTGCGGAGCTTGTTTCTGCAGTGTCGAGGAAGGGGGTGGTCACGTGCTACTGAAAGGTCACACACAGGACGGAAGCCCAGGATTTAGCACTTAGGAGGCCATGGGTGACTGCAGATGACAACTTCAGTAAGAAAGTGGGGTCAGCAGCTGGGTTAGATGGAAGAATAACTTCTCAGCAGTGAAAACAGCAAGACTATTATTTCATGAAATTCAGAGGTGAAGGGAAAGCAAGATACTGATGGTAATTTATGGAGGGAGGGAGGGAGGCAGAGACAGATTGTGTTTAGGAAGGCTGAGACTGGAGTTTATTGAGAGGGTGAGAGTATGAATTTGGAAAAGGAAGATTGGAGTGATAAGAAAAAGGATTTAGATAATGAAGTCAAGTTCCAGAAGTAAATGTAATCAAATTATGATGTGGCCTAGAAGTGGAAGTTGTTGTTGGGGGGGGGGGGCACTTTAAAACAATATATGAAGCAGGAAGAAAGTGGATAACAGTTTTAGGGGTACTTGATCCTGTTTTAAAAATTACCCCCTGTCGGAATGTGCTGATGCGTGCACCTTTCTCACTAGGCAGCAGCTGTTGCCCTGTCCTCCCTGACGCATGCTTTGGATGAATTAGGCATGGTGGCCATAGTTCGATATGCTTATTCCAAAAACTCGAATCCTCAGGTTGGCGTGGCTTTTCCTTATATCAAGGACACCTATGAGGTAAAACCCACATGTCTTTTATTATGTTAATTAGTTTCTCCTTCAGTTTCTTTATTCCAAACAGTGCTTCTTAACTGTTAATGTGCATGGGAATTACTTGGGCGAGGTTGTTAAAATAATGCTCTGATTCTGTAAGTCTGGCGTGGGGCCTGAAATTCTGCTTTTCTCACAAACTCCCAAATAATGCCGCTGCATCTGGCTGTGAACCACACTTTCGGTTGCAATGGAAGAGCGTAATATAAGTATGTAAAGGGGCTTTTTATTAAATCAAATCAGTGAGAGTTAATCGTGGCCTTCTGTTTGCCCAATCCAGTGACCTCCTCTGGGCTCACATCCTTCTTTATATCTCAGAACGTGGTGGGAATAGAGATTACCTGTTTTCACAACCACCTGTGTTTAGTATGGGTCAAGGCTGAGGATGTGATTTTGTTGTGATCCTTGTGAAATTCGGTTTAGTTAGGGCTCTCCTAGTTAAAATACAGGCCTATCTCAAAGAATTTACTGTGGCAGAACTGGGAAAGAGACGGCAAACGTCTTGACTTGCACGTCAACTTTCCAGTCACCTTGGACTCTTCTCATTTGTGGTATCGGTCATGCATTTTGCAGGTATTCTCTGATAGTCTTTCTCTGAAGCATTTCTTTTATGTTTAATATTCTTTGTACTGTTTGCAGTGATGTACAGCGAATAATGGAAATCAAAACACTTTGCTTTCCATGTACCAGCGTTGAGCTATCTGATTTTTGAAATAACTTTTGTTGTGCCACTTTCACAGCGTTTGGGAACAGTTTTATATGTTTTCATTAATTTGATTGTTTTTGTTTTTCCCTCCTTTCTTTCTCATTAGTGTTTAGTGTATGTGCAGCTGCCTTTCATGGAAGACTTGCGGCAATACATGTTTTCATCCTTGAAAAATAATAAGAAATGCACTCCCACAGGTGAGTGTATTTCCATTTTGCTCACTAATTGGCTTTAAACACAGACTGTTCTTGGGAAATCACCTGTCTGCAGTCACTGGTGGGAGACAGGGTTTCACAGGGTGGAATTAGTTAGACCTGAATGACTTCCATGCACAGTAATAATAAAGGCGGTTCATCTTGTGTTTTTCCGGTAGCAGGGATAGGTTTGCCCTGAACTCTCCGAGCACTGTCTCCAGGTCCCCCCTGTGACTAAGGGCTTGTATCTGGGGAGCAGCTTGCTAGCCGTGGATGGACTTTCTCTAGTTGTGAGCAGGTTTGCCCTTTGCTGAAGTGAATTGACATGGACTGTGAAGCCTGAGTGTGTCCCACAGAAAATATGTGTAACTTTGAATTGAAAAGTGACCGTGCTGGAGATTACCTTTCCTGCCTGCCCTTTCTTTGTAGTTTACAGTAACAGTCCAAGTCTCATTGTTCCTTCTTTGTAGGAGTTACTTCAAGCTTGATGAGAAAAGGCTTATTCAGCATCGGGCTGCAGATGTCAGGGTGCTGCGCAGAAAGATTCTCACACACATAACAGATCCTGTCTTCTCGAGAGCTCTCAGTTGAAGACAGTTGTAATGAAATAGAAGAGCGGGCCAAATGTAGGCAACATACCAAAAAGAACACAACAGGATGAGCAGATGTGTTAGTTTATGAGTTTAAATCTGTGTCAGTGTAGGATTAGGGAGTTGGGAGGTGAGTCTCAGAACTGGGGTTTCTCTGTGTGTTTCTTTGGTTAGACCACTTGGGAGCGGTGTGCAGTAGAAAAGCCAAGAGCCAGATGGGCCCTAGGGTTTGTATCTTTACTGTCTTCTGGAAATGAGTCCCTCGGCGTCATGGTGGAACCAGGCACGCTCCTCAACGCACAGAAGCTGCCAGCGGGTTACTGTAGTCTGTCTCTTCCTCTGGATAATTCCAAACTTTAAACGAGTACATTTCAAAGAGAACTCTGTTCAGAAATTATAGATATACATCATTCACTCAGGATCTAAAACATTAAGTGTCTCTTGATCTGTTGATTTATTTTTCTGAGAGTGGACGTATTTTTGTTTGCATTTTCTCCATTACAAAGATGGACCAGTAAAACTGTTTGGCATCGTCCCCAAGTCGACGCTTATGTAGGGGTGTGCAATGCCAGAATGACCTGGCCTGACACCAGCTGGTAGTGGCAAATGAAAACCACAGGTCCCATCTCCTCCTAGTGCCAGTCAGCGTAAGGTGGCGATGGCTGTGCCAGTGCCCGACACCTCCCCTGGAAAGGCCAAAAACTGGATAGAAACGTCTCATTATAAATACCTGTACACTCTTTCATCTTGTAGTAGCTGAACAACAGGGGTGTTTTAGAAGGTGAAGAATAGAAGCATAATGGACTTTTTAGGAATCACTTACCCTCTTCTGCCTTTTGCCTACTGACTGTGAGTGATCCAGAAATAGCGCTTCAGCTTTTAACAGCTGAACTGCTGTATGAGTCAGCAGAACGAAAGGTGCCCGTGGTAGTTTAAGTGGAAGCCTTTGGGGGAGAGCTGCCTTTCATCCACGCTGCTTTGAGCTGTGCCATTTCTGCTGACTTGGTAGATTTTCACTGAGGAGCACTTGCTTTCTGTTCGGTGTTAGGAGAGACAAAGAAAAGGAAGTCACATTTTTTGCTCTCGGGGATCGTTAGAGTGGAGTGGAGTCAGACATGTACGCAGGTGTGCGTATCCGCAGAGTGCCAGGAGCTCATCCTGGGTCGGGCAGGATGTGAAGGAACCTGCTCACTCTGGTCCAGTGGTGTCCTCCTGATAAGTTGGTGCACTCTGATACAAGTGACGTTAAATCCTCATCAAGTTAATGCTTCAGTACCAAAGAGGTTTCCTTTTTCTTTTTAAAATAGCTAATTACTAATTTTTTGAATATTAATTCATTGAATACTGAATATTTTGAATTGCCATATACAAGGTAGGTTTTGTGTGGCTGTGGTGCATTCCTCTGGAACAGACTCTTTTGCTTTTGATACGATGCCCCATTGTCAAAAGTTCACTGAATGGTAGAGCTGGAAAGGACCTAAGAGACCAGCTACTCTAACTCTTTGCAAATAAGAAAACAGAGTCAGGTAAATGATGTGCATAACTACAGAATATTTTCAGCAGAACCAGGGCTGTATCACCTTGTCAACATTGCTGTGGATGGAAATGATTTGTTTTAGTGGAAAATAATGTGGGTAGTCATTTGTTTTTTCTGTTCTTCGTTTATCCTGTTTTAGAGGCACAGTTGAGTGCTGTTGATGCTTTGATTGATTCCATGAGCTTGATAAAGAAAGATGAAGAGGAGGGCTTGGTTGAAGACTTATTTCCAACCACCAAAATCCCAGACCCTCAATTTCAACGATTATTTCAGGTGAGAAAGGGAAGGTGAGCCAATTACTTTTTTTTAAATGAAAGAGAACTGAGTAAAAAGATAGAGTAATTGACAGGTCCCAAACAAATGTTTTTATTCTCCGAGGGCCTCAGTTCTATTTAAAGGAAGAAGAACACTTTCTGCTTCCCACTAAGAAAGAAAGATACTCTGAGCTTTTAGAAAGAAAAGAGTAAAGTTAGTATGCTTTTTAAATTTTTTCTGGAGAAAGACTATTGTTTTTATTAAAAAACAAAAGGGCTTAATAAAAAGCAGATTCTTTGATGCTTTTTTCAGGCTTTTCTGCACTATTTTATGTGACTCAGACTTTTCTTTGTTTTTTTATATCCAAACGTAGAGTTTTTATGAGCTGGATAATAATCACTGTTAGGGAAAAAGTGTTCCAGTGTCATATTTGTCAAAAATTTCATAATTCAAGATGGCAGAGAGGCCAGATAAGGAGGTTATAATATGAAGTTATTAAAGAGTAACTAAAATACAGAAAAATATAAATTATGGATTTCTGAATCTAGGGCCAAAGGAATTGGAATGTGGAGGTTGGATTAAGGGGAACGGGGGAGGTTGACCGGAGAGCTGACTTACACTGAGGAAGGGAGGAAACACCAGCGTCGAAGGGGAAGGGACGGTCCAGTCTTGGATTAACTTGGTGACAGCAGGACACAGGCTTCTCTGAACCCCCAAAAGCTGAAAAAAGATCACGAGAAGCTTTTTCAGGCAAACTCTTCCCCACAGAGGAGTGGAGGGCCTATTCCTGTGGAGGGCAGCGGGCTGTTTGATGGAGGCACCATTGATTGTCTGTTTTCACTCATGTCTCAGAGCATCCTTAACTAACTCAGGTCCATGTTAGGCCCTGTTGTAATTTTGAGGGATCTTCTACATAAGAGAAATTGCCTGTTTTTTGATGCTTGTCATGCTTTTAAGTAGTGGGGGGTGGGGGGAGTTTGTTCTAAAATTAAAAATATGAAGCTTACTATGTAAAGGCCTGACTTAGTGACTACTTTAGTATTCTAAGTGTAACTGAGTCTAAATAACTTGTATAAAATCCTTTGGTGTTTTTGACGAGTGGTCTTCAAGACCCAAAGGCCTTTGCCATTTGTAGGGAAGGGAGGAGCAGACCAGTTGGTGTGGAAAGCATGCAAAAACAAGTTGCTCTGGTGAAAAGTCAGACTTCTAATACATGGAAGATTTGCTCAGGGTAGCTTCTGTTTATCATCAATAAGTGTTTCTTGGATTAAGGAGTAGATACAAGAATACAGGCATTGTTCTCTTTCAGAGCTGTAAGAACTGGAAACTTTGGTTTTTACAATTTACCAACTTTGTTTTGTGGGGGAGAGCTTTTAATATGGCTTATCTGTATAAAGAAATATCATTGCTAGGGCATTTATAAATTGAATTCACTGTTTTTAAAACAAATATTTATTGAATACTAACAATGTGCCATGTGCTAAAGATACTATATGCTAACTACTTGAAAGGACCCCTCCGGAGAAATGAGAGGAGTAGAGATATAAAACCAGTAGGCGCAACAGTGGCGGGTACAAAATACTGTGGGAATAAGAAGAAAGAGAGATTCTTGCAAATGAGTGACTTCCGGAATGTGTCACTGAGGAAAAAAGGGGATTCGTGATGTGACAGGGGCATGCCAGGAAAAAGGAGTAGCATATGCACAAGCACGGAGACATGAGGAAGTGTGATGATGTATTTAGGGACCCACAAATAGTTCCATGAGGCTGGAGAACTGGCTGTAGGGGAAATGATGGGAAAAGTGGCAGGGTAGATACGTAGCATTTGGATTTTATCCTGTGGAGAGTGGGTCATCATGAAAGGGTTTTTTCAGCAGGTGGGTGACCTGAGTTTTAGAAAAGAGCTCTGATGAAGCATAGGAGATGGACTTGAGACGAGTTATCCAGAAACCTGCAGTGGCCCACATGAAGGCTTGAATGAAAGCAGTGACAGAGAGAGTGAAGACGAGCAAATTTCTAAGGGAGAATAGCTGTGACTTAAGGGATTATAGTGATTTAAGGGATTATATGGTGGTTGATGAGAAATAAGAGGAACTGAAGTAACAATATCCTAGCTTGGCTGACTGGAAGGATGGTGGCACCATTAATTGTGATGAGGCATATAGAATGAACAGACAGAAAAGGTAATGCATTTCCTTTTGCAAGTGTTAAATTTGAGGTATCTGTTGGCTATCCCAGTACAGACACTCAGTGGAAAGTTGGAAATCCAGGTGCAGAGCCTAGAAGAGCATTCAGGATTCATTGTATAGATTTGAGAGTCCTCATGTAGGTGGAAACAGAAGCGAATGAGGCCACGTGGGAGAGTATGTCGAGTGAGAAGAGAGAACAAAGTCCTGAACACCAACGTGTGAGTGGACAATTAGGGATGACATAAAAAGAAATGCTTTAAAAACAACAGCAGCAACAAAATATTCCAGCCTCCACCCCGAAAAAAGGCCAGCGAGGTAGAAAGAACTAGGCGGAACTGGTGCCTACAGAGGCTCAGGAAGAGAAGAGCATCTGGAAAGAAAGAAGCTCAAATCAGACATGGCACACAGGTGAGGCAAGGAGCATGGAGAGGGCCTCTAGGGTTTGTAGTTGTGTCTGAAGATTTTGAAGGCCCAGCGTCAGTGGAGGAATTGGGATGGAGCAGATTCAGTGCTGGAGGAGAAACTGAGGAAGGGGAAGAGAGAGGGAGGACTGAGTGAGCTATAGGAGGATGTGGAACTCAGGGAGACTTTCTTTTTAGATGAAATATTGATAACAGGGTAAATGGGAGTAGGGGACAGAAAGAGATTAATAATTTGTTGGCTGGAGGTTAATTTATTTCTAATTTTGGAAAGAAATGCTGACAAATAGGTCTTTTGTCAGTGTACAGTTAAAACTGCCTTTAAATGATTAATAGTGTTGCTAAAATCAACATACTACTAACTTATGAGTTAGCCATGTGGCCTGTAGTTGTTTTACTAGTCTTTCAAATTGTAAAAATCACATTGAAGAATCACAATTGCTTAAAAGAGAAATAAGTAGATTGAGGACAGATCCTCAGCTTCTGAGCCACCAAAAAGTGTCACTTTATGATAACATTTTTATAAATGAGTTGGGATGTTTTGATTGAACTAATTGTGTAAGTATTCCACTTAGCGTTATCTAAAATGTGACCTTTAAGAAAATATGAGAGGTTGATGCTTTAGAACATCCTTTGTAGGTCCTTTATTTCTGGCTTCCGGGTGATGACACTGTTTGAAAGAATTGCTCTCCTTTAATAACAGTATGAACACTGTTAGAGTTTGTACTGAAAATCTGGGATGTTTTTCCGTAGGGAGTCTGGGTAGGGTATTTGGCCATGGTTTGTTCTAGTTCTTTTCAAAAAAAAAAAAAAGATCAGTTGAGTATCAAATAGACTTTCAGAGTGTGAAATGTAGTCTGCTCTGTTGAGTGTCTGATTACTGCTTCCATCGTTAGGGCTTTCTAAGCTGTTTTAGGTATTTTAATGACCTGAGGGAGAATGCTGTGAATTAAAAATTATGCAGAGGCAGGTTGGGGGTAGATTCACAGGGGCTTGGGATCATTTTGGTTTCCCCTTTGGCTTCACATTAAATAGGCCTGATGTTATTGATGCTCAAGCGAAAGTCAAGTAATTAGGAAAGAGAAAAACAGGAGTCCAACACTGAAATAAACGAATGTACCATGGAGAAGGAAGACTTGCGGTTGGTGTATCGAAATAAGGGAGCAGCACATGAAATTTCTAGAAGAAATCAGTACTTAATTCCTACTTCAGGAGTTGCTCAATTTGTAGAACATCGACTCTTGGATGGTATTTACTATTTAAGCCTAAGTACCTTTATTTCTTAGAATGGAAACTTCTAGCTTATATTTCTACAGGGTAGGAAAACAGTCCATGGGGTGGTATAAATCATATACCTTATGGTAGGAAACAGTATTTTGAAATTATAGGAGCTGTATAGCTCTCTGGTTTTTCTTCAAAATTACTAATGTATCAGTTGTTTAAAGGCGGGAATAGTAGGAGTCCTGTTCTTCAACCTACTCTTGGAATTGATTCTCTAGCAATCAAAGGAAACATCAGTGAAGTGATAGTTTTCCTCTTTCTTAATGGTATCTCACCCTTGTGCTTACCTCCGTATACTCCTTTTAGAGTATTTACTTTTCTGGGCAGAAACCAGCACTGCCAGGGCCTCGCTTAGTGGATTGAAAGCAGCGCAGGTGATTGAATGGCAGTGGTTTGCTGTCCAGATTTCCCCTCGTGAAGCAGTGGAGAACCTTCCCTGGCCTTGACCTTGGCCCCACTGTTGGTGCTGCTTCCTGATGCCTTTGTAAACAGCCAAAGAGTCCTGAGAAAGAGCTTTATTCCTTCAACCAGTATCTGTTAGGTGCACATTATGTGCCAGAAACCATTTTCAGCACTTGGAATTCAGCAGTAAACGAGACAAACAAGATCTCTACTTTCCAGGGGAAAGGTTAGGTAATAAACAATAAACTAAAAAATCAATAAGGTAATTTTAGGTAATAAATTCTGTAAGGAATGTAAAATAAGGTTAATGGTAGAGAATAACCACGTGGTAGGAAGGGGATGAGGGGCCCTTTCATATAGTGTCAGGGAAAGCCTGTCTGAGGAGATGATAATTGAGCAAAAACAGAATGATGAAAAGGGGCCAGCTCTGGTGAGATCTTGGGGCAGGCAGAAAAGGCAGAGCATTGAGGACAGGACTCCAAATCTGGAATGGGCTTGGATAAGAGTGACACGGGACGAGCCCAGGCTAGCTGGGTCACGGTGAGTGAGGAGGAGGGTGGCAGGTGGCGTGATAAGGGAGGCATGCCGGCTTTAGGATGTGGTAAGGAGCTTGTTTTAAGCTGACTAGTTAGAGTAGAACAGTGCAAGTGGATGTGGGGACACCATTAGAAGGTGAGAATGGCAGCCCACAGGAGAGGTGATGGGGCCTGGACAAGCACAGTAGCAGTGGAGATGAACAGAAGCGAATGGACTGGTGGAGAATGGCCCAAACCTGCACTCCAGGGAGGTTCGGGACAGACCAGTATGCTCATGTGTTCCACAGATTTCTTCCTGGGACCCACTGAGCATGGGCAGCTCCACCACACACTGTTTTCTAAGATTAAGCAAAGGAGAAAGCACAGTATAGTGAAGGGAGGTAAAGGATTATAGCCCCAAAGTTATAACCCCACGTTGTCAGAAATTCTTGGAATTATGGGTCTTAGAGAACCTTGTGTACTCTTCAAGTAGCTAAGTATCGTCCTCTTTTTATAAGATGAGGCTCCTTTCCAGGAGGGCTTCAGCTGGCAGTGCTGCTAGGCTTGGGTCTGTTTTACGGTTGATTTGGGCATTATCCATGTCCTGCTAACCAAGGTGTTTCTGGGCCAACTCGCTGTTCTCATTTACATGTGGTAGGAATCAGAGCCCTCCCAAACTAAACATGGAGGAACCCTGATCAGAAAAGCATAATGAAGCCATCTGTGGTGTCCACATCTGCGTTTTAAAATCCTTATTCCTTTTCCACAGTGTCTGCTGCACAGAGCTTTACACCCCCAGGAGCCTCTGCCCCCAATTCAGCAGCATGTTTTGAATATGCTGAATCCCCCCACAGAGGTGACAGCTAAATGTCAGATTCCTCTCTCTAAAATAAAGACTCTTTTCCCTCTGACTGAAGTCATCAAGAAAAAGGATCAAATGACTGCTCAGGACATTTTCCAAGACATGTAAGTACTCGATGGAGCTGCATTTGACGTTGGAGTACAGAAGGCTGGTGCTAGTCATGGCCTGGGACTCTGGAATTATGGATTGCAAGTGGGTTTGTGGAAGCACCAAGGCGGGAGGAAGAAACCCGTCGGTATTTGACCCTTGTATTGAAAATACTGGTTTCTCATGTCTGTCTGTTGTAGGTATAGTTTTTCCCTGCTGTTCACTTGGGATGTAGAACTACCTTCTGGGTTGTTTTTTGATCACATTCTTGGTGAATTATATATAGAGTAAGGCTGAACAGTTTTTAATACCTAAAACTATAAATTTTACCATTTTTAAAGTAGGGTGCTAGGGATGAGAGGAGGGGGTGAAATTCTTAGGTTTTTAGGTTGGGAGGTTAGGTGTCAGGAAAAAATCAGTGATATTTTTGGAGGAAAAGTGAGGAGAATGAAAAACCTGGCCCTTCAGTTAAGCAGTTACTATTCAGCGATGTACTTGGTTATACCGTCAGCTGGGTATTTGTACTTTAAAGATGGCAGAATGCTCTTCATACAATCCTTAAATCAAACTTTCAGGTTGTTATTTTTTTCTCTCATCAGAGTCTTTTCAAAATCTGTATCAATTTCCATTCAAATTGCAAAGCGAAACAAACCGTAAGAAATTGTTTTTGGTTATCCAGAATCATTTGGGCATATATCGTTGACTTTACCAGGGCTAGGTTTTTGGTTATTGATTACTTTTCCCCCAAATCAAAATGATCTATTCCTTTTTTTTAGGTTGCATTCTGAGATCCAGGTTTAGACCACAATTTTTTTTCCTTTGATTTCCTTCCCACAACTGTACCTTTATTGACAAACTTATTATTTATAAATACCCCATTGGAGGAGTACTGAGTAATTTCTAATAAACCTTCACAGAGTTCTGTACATTTTTAAATTTAGTGAATTATCTTCCAAGTTGAATGCAAAGCTTTGTGCTCTTTGTGGCTTTTTAGAGGTCAATATCCTTTGTCAGAATAAAAAAAAAAATCATGGGATTGATAGGTTCTATCATGTGCATTCCTAACACATCCCGCAGTTTTCTGTTTCTCCTGAGTCTCCCATGCCTTCTGTATAGAAAGACTCACTAAAAGTCCACTTTCCTTCTGCTACCCTCATCCATCCATGCCCCTCTGGATTGGTATTTTGAACAGTTCGATAAAATTCGGAGTCCTTTTCTTCCGGGGACAGCCTTACTTTAGCCTCTCTGCAGTCATCTGGCTGTCCTTGCTCCAGTTCATGATCTTGACTACCTTCTGCAGTTGTGGGAAAGAAAGGGGTCCATTTTCCCCTCTTCTCGTTGATTAAAATGTAAATTAGTTGGTTAAAAAACCCCCACCGCATAGACCCAGAAGGCTGCTGTTCTGTGATTTGATCCCTGCTGTGATTACACCTTCAGCTCTAATCCTATCACTCACTCTTTCAGGGAGCTGGAGAGGGCTGGCTGTTCTTTTTCTTTGCTCCCATCATGGTTTGCGACAGACAGCCCAGTGATCTGCTGAGGGCCTGAGAATGATCTCACTCACACACACCTACTCCTCACACTCCAATTCTCTATCCTTTCTTCAGAAACTTAAAGCTTCAGAAAGTTTTTAAAAGCGGCAGAAATGATGCATTTCACAAATATTTATTGAGTACCTCCTGTATTCAAGAAGAATGACTCAGTCCCTTTTGCAAGGTTCTTAAAGCCCTTAATTTTTATAAGGCCCCAGTCAGCTCTCGAGGTAGTCTCCCTAAGGAGAAAAAAGTTACTAACAACTAGCTATGTTTTTGTGTATATCATATTTTTTATATACACAAAAGTTTGTACCCTGTATTGAGGGTACATATTTCTAGTGTAGGGTGAGGGGTTAAGATTGGGGAGTGGGAAAATGTCTGTGCAGGAAGCGTCAGAGGCTAAGACAAGAGCCCTGAGCTGGGAATCGCTGGTTTTCATTTCAGCTTTGTCAAGCTTGACCTGATTTTGCTTAAATAAATTTACCTTTATGAAAGTTTCTCCATCTAAAAACAGCCTCATCTCAAGAGATATTGTAACAATGAAATCACAGATATTAAAGCACTTTGAACTATTTGGAGAGAAGGCAATAGTCAAAACCCAAAGCAATAATAATATCATTGTTAATGAAAACATTGACCACTTGAGATCTGCTATTCCTGCTGAACCTGTTGAATCTCTAGTTTTAGAAGTGATTTCTTCATTTCAAGAGGGTAGGAGCACCATCTGACATTGTAGTCCAAAAATGTACTAAATATTACCCTTCTATAAAATCACTGCTTCCCTTAATGTTGCTGAACACTGTTGAAATGAAAATGTCGTCTCATCTCTTGCACAGGGAACTTGCCTGAGAATTAGGACATCTGAGGCCGAATCCTGCTTGTGCAACTAACTCATAGGTGATCTTGATTTTTTTTTTTTATCTCTATCCATATAGTCTAAAGTTTTCTGCTTTTTCAATTCCCCTAAGACTCCCTGCCACTTACTTTCAGTAGCCAACCTCACCTGGTTACTGGTTAAGAGACAGTGTGAATTGGTTTCCTTGCTTTGCAGTGTGACCTTAAGCGCAAGTTGCTTACCCTCCCTAAGCCTCGATTTCCTCATGAGTAAATAGGGATAATAGGAATGTCTGTCTCACAGAGTTGTCATGCGGGTCAGTTGAGTAATATCCCTAGATATTTGAGTCTTAGATAGTTGAGTCTTATCCCTAGAACCCAGCACAGTGCCTTACACATAGTACGAATGCAGCATTTGTGAGGAAATAAATGATTTACAAAATCCTAGTCATGTTCCTGTCACATTTGCGATAACTAGGTAGCGATGATGATGGTGGTGATGATGATTTTATAGAGAAAACAGAGACCAGTAGGTGGGAACTCCACAGTTATTTGGCCCATTTTATCTAAGAACGTACCTGTATTGCTTCCACCTTTACTTTCTCTTTCCTGTCTCAGTGGAAGAGGGCACGTCATTCTGTCCCCAGTTAATCCTTTCACCTGTGTCCTGAGATGCCGTCTTCTGTCTCATCTGGAACCTTAGCCCACTAATAATTTTTTTCCTCTTTATGTATTTTCAGCTTCTCCCTCTGCACCAGCTCCTTTCCCTCCACACATAATCATTTTATTTCTTTCCTCTACAACAAAATAAAATAATCCCCACACCTTCCTCCCTCTAATTACTATTGGGTCTTTGGAAAAGTCATGACGCATGTTTGCAACAGATGGCACTAGTTCATTTTTGGAAGTACTAGAGTCATTCGCATCTATGTTATTGCTATGTCATTTGACAG